CGGGTAAGACCAGAAGAAATTTTATAAACATTTATGCTCGTACTACAAAATATAAAAATTCGACCGTTCCATATTTGGCACGAGTATTGTGTGAAGAGACAAATATCAGAAAAGAACTTTTACAACTTTTGAATCAATAACTAATCTATAAAATGTAATGATGCATATTATTATGCATGTGTTATTTGTTATATTATTTATTTATTATTCACTATGACCTAGAAATGGTGTGATTTTGTTGGTTTTTTTAATTTTCTTTGTTTTTTCCTATTAACTATCAATATTTTAACATTTTATACATTTATATAATTATAAACAGAGCTAAACCATTGCAATATGTAAAAGAAACGCTGAAAGTTCCATGCTGTAAATTGTTATTGTTGTGGAATAAAGTGATTATTATTATTATTATTATAAAAGACTAGCTGTCTTTGATCATAGGTGCCTCCGCTCTATTTCCCGTGTAAAGTGGTATAATAAGATGAGCAATATTGAGGTTAGGCATCGGTCGATTGCTAGGTAAAGAGGGGAAATCAATCGACGAAGTCGTGAAGTTACAAAGACTGAGATGGTTAGGATATGTGTTACGTATGCCAAGCCATCGCCTCCCTCGACGAGCAATGTTAGCGGATATAGGGTCAGGCTGGAAAAAAGCTAGCGGCGGTCAAACAAAAACATGGCACCAGTCAATGAAATCCACAACAGTTGGTCTAATCCACGTAGAAAGGTGTAGACTTCCAGGCTGGGGTCCTCGGGACGGTAACAATCTATGGTTGGAAACAATTGGTGACATGGCTCAAAACCGTTCTCAGTGGCGCAGATGCATCCATTCCTTGTGACTTATGATCTCCAATGAAACTGTTTTGTTCTTCGCTATTACTCCTTTGTCTCACACCTCTGTTCACTGTTTCTATTATGCTTTTCTTGTACTTTCTTCTCTTGCTTCGCGTGCTACACGGAGTGTGGTGACTATGAACTGGTGCACATTTGTGCAAAGTTCTATGTAGAAAACAGACAGAGACAGACAGATTAATGGCGAGAACAGGAGACTTATTACATATTACAGAGGAGACAAGATATAACATTGACGTTAAGTGATCTTTTAAACCTCTCTATAAAACGTGTTTGGGGCGTATCCCAAAGTTTGTGGAAGCCCTAGCTGGCAATTAGAAAGTTTAAACCATCTTTATACGTTCAAAACAACTATTCGTCATCACACTAAACCACCTTCCTTGGCAAACTTTGTTTTGATGATACTAAAGCAGATGTACTATTACCTTTGTTATTCGGCTTAGTGATCTACATTGTTCTTATTTGCACCTTCAGTATATCCTTTCAACTTGACCTAAGTAGTCTATTTTCTCACCTCTTAACTCTTTATTAATTTCATATGTATATACAATCGTATGACAAGTCCGTGGAGTGCGGTCAGATTGTTCAAAGTGTGTTGTGCGCGCAAATACATACATAACACGATTCAGACAAATTAAGTCTTCTTATTGCTTTATTTAAATTCATAAAGGGAACACTAATTGTTTTAAAAAATCCAATATAGGTGGAATTTTTCATCATGAATTATAAAAGTATCATCTACATATATTTTGTAGTGGTGCAGTTAACTGATCAGAAGATCAAGGATACTGTTTTCCTTGGAATATTCCGCTAAGAATGGGTAAACAGGAAACCCCACGTCTGCACTATCTTCCCTAATGTAAAATTATTCATTGAATTTTAATTGAATATTCAAGGTAAACCTGATGATTAGCTGCTTCATGTAGTTGGTGGGAAGAGAAAGTTTTACGTTATGGGATCTAATTCAGCCACTTATGAAGAGTATCATTTCAGTTAAGGGGATGCTTGTGAAGAGGGAAGTGACGTCTAGGAAAAGCTTTTTTTTTCAAGTATTGGTTTTGTACGGTTTCTGTTTGATTGGTTAGGGGTGGGGGGGATTTCACCATGAGCTGACATCAGTTAGAGAACCATTGGAAAACCAGCCAGGGAGTACTGCCAGACAGCTAGCTGTTTCGTCAACCTAGTTTGGTACTCTTCATCAGTACGCTCTCACCACAAGGGTTCGAACCCTTCTGATTACAAGACGAGCTAGTTCGTAGACCATTAAGCCACTGGGACCCGATTCAAAACTTGAAAATTGATCCGATGGTCACTAAGGACTGGTCCTACTCAGGTAGTTAATTTTGGGTTTTAGTGGGAAGCCGTGACCAGTGGGGTAGAGCAGGTTGAAGGTGAGGCAATAACTGGTTGGAGAAGACATTACGAAGTAGTCACGGTGTGCCATGAATTGGTAGAAGTTGGAATTCATGGGCTCGCCAATGGATTGGGTCCCAGTAGTTTAATGGTCTGCGAGCTAGCTCGCCTTGTACCTAGAAGGTCCTGGGTTCGAACCCTGGTGGTGAGTGAGTACTGATGAAGAGTCCCAAACTAGGCCGGCGAAACAGTTAACTGTCCAGTACTCAGTGATAGGTTTTCCAATGATTCTCTAACTGATATAAGCTAGCTATTCGTCGATCCGATGATAAGGTGATTTTCTATCCTGTTTTGGCGTATGCTACTGACAACATTTATGAGTAGTATACTGATAGCGTAGTATTCATACGAAACGGCCAAAATTAATATCAGCATTTTAGATCAAAAGGTGCGGAGGTAGAAATGTTTATTCCTTGAATCTGGATCTAGTTTATGATGGGGACATGAAATAACCTTACTGGACACCTTTTCGTCTCATTGCTTAATCTTGGGCTGAACACCAACCAGTCAGAACAATTTACTGTCTGCTGACCTAACCAAGTTTTAATATGGCTAAAAGCACAAAGATATGATGTGTTTTTAAAAAAAATTAAAGGTCCGTTATCAATTCTCTTATCTCCTGTCGTTAGACTATCTGATGTGTCTTTCTGGTTGAAGGATTTAAAGAATTCGCTCTTGTCTGATAGTAGGATTAGTTATTTGTCGATAAGATCTAATCGCTACACCGTTACAATTCCATCGCCTTTGTCTAAACGAACGAAAAGTGTTGATTTTTGTTTTCTTGGAGTTGTCTGAGTGTGTTTTCTGTGCTGCATCGTTAGTAAATAACTGTGAATAGGTAATGCATACATTCATTTATAGCTACTGTCTACGACTGACAAATCAAAAGCATTACATGCACTCATTTGCATTCCCCATGCAGATCACTTAGCTTTTGTCCATTTTTATTGATTAAATAATTTCTCATACTTATTGTGTAATTAATTCTAACTTCCGTTATTTAATCTTCACCTAATCCAGGTCCCTTTTAGATTACACCTCACATTACATAATACACTTTCCAGTAGGTGATTGGTTTTATGACTTCAAAAAATACCATTACTATTATTATTATTACTATTATTATTCCCGTGGGTGAAACTCAGAACTTTAGCACCACATCTCAATTTCACCCTCTTCCCCACAGTAATCTTTAGCTGGCTGCACGATCGCCAATAACCTCTCATCTCCTCCCACACGGTTTCCTCCACGTCATCCTCGGATACCTAACTCGCTGTTTCACATTTGGGTTCCATTTATGGCAGCTGATGTCACTTAACTGCCCTCTCAGTGTCTTTTTAACCCGTCTCCATTTTCTTCGTCATGATTGTTGTGCAGTACGACAACGTCACATGTAAAGTGATCCACAACGGAAAACTCAGCGAGGCGTTTGGAGTAAACACAAGAGTCAGACAAGGGTGCTTATTACCATCAATGATATTCTTATTGTGGTGGACTGGATTATGCGTCAGACGGTGGGAAGCGAGAAGATAGGGATATCCTGAACCGACGTGAAGAACCTAGGAGACCTAGATTTCGCGCAGCGATGATTTATGTTTGATGTCAGACAAAATCGAAGACTTACAAGCGAAAACAGCATAAACAGGACTCCAGGTGAACATAGACAAGACGGAGGTTATGAAAATAACCAACCACCAACAGCAGCAGAAACATCCAGCACCAATCACCATCAACGGGAGGGATTTGAAAGAGGTTACTTCATTCACTTCACTTATCATCTAGGGAGCATTGTCTCAACTACAGGCCAGAGGAACGGACGAGGATGTCAATCAAATCGAGCGAGAATCGGGAAGGCGAGCGAGAAACACATTCATCAACCGGAAACCAATCTGGAAATCTTCGTCACTCAACTCAGAATCAACAACAAAATTCGGTCGGATTTTCAATGCAAACAACGTCAAGTCAGTCAGCTCTTCTATGCGAATCAGAAACTTGACGGGCGGGTCACACAGAGTATTTCCAACAGCCTGTTGCAGACCTTTATCAACAAACAACTGTCTTCGCTGGTTCTATACTGAAGATCAATCAGATGGCCGGGCCGGAAAGAATCACCAACAAAAAACTCTCAATGGGAACAAACAAAACAAGAACAAACCAATCGCCAACCAACAAATATGCAGGAGAAAGTGTATTGAGATGGATTGGACACTCGCTCGCTGAGGAGGCCGCTGGGTGGGTGACATCACGCGCGCGTCAGGCCATTGCTCGAGTGGAACCAGGCCAAAAGGGAAGCGGCGAGTGGGACGTCAGTGCAAGGTTGACATGGAGGAGATTGTGTGAAGAGGAGTTGAAAGAGTATGGACCAACATGGATGCAGGTAAAAAGTACAGCAGAAGGAAGACAGAAGTGGCAAGTGGAGACGTGCATTTGAAGCCCAATGTTCCAATAGGAACCCAAGGGAACAATAATATATAATAATCATAGATTGTTGGTTTGCTCGTTTCCCGGGTTCTGTGTCGCTTATTCTTTCTGGTAGGCCATCTGATCTGCAGTATGAACTGGAAGCAGCTGTTGATAAATGTCCACAGTAGCCTGTTGGAAATGCTTTTCGGGACACGTGTATGTGTGTGTTCGCCTAGTCTCTGAAACATCACTCAGTACTACTATTACCCGCAGTAATACTACTGATAATAATAATGATAATAGTATTAATATTAATATTAATGAACTCTTACTTTAGTGAATTGATTGTCTCCGACATACTTGTTATGGTTGGATTAATTGTTATGATCATAGCAGATTTTGAATTCCCTCCAAGTGAATCTTGCATAAGTTGTGTTAACTTACTATTCTGATAAGGCACGTAGTTTTGTGATGTTAACAAGGCTGAAACAACATCACCCAAAGTTGAAAGTGTTGAGGAAATAAAGTTGACCTCCTGTTGGTAAAAAAATAAAAAATAGAAATAGAAAAACAACTCTAATTTTTAAAATATATTTGTTTACACTACTTACAAGTAGTTAAAAACGTTTAACTAATATTTTCTACAAGAGCTCTTGTGGAGCAAGGTACATTGGCCGTAGTAAGAGGACGCTTTCCACACAGGGATGGATACGAAAACATATTAAAGCAGAAGCATGGTTTTACATGGGAGAAAGAAAGTGTGTGCGAGGCTCTATTCTGAAACACCTGATCGACTTCTGTCACTCTGTCAACCCTGACCGTGATTTTTAGATTATCTATCGAATTCATGCTAAATTACTGGCCGCGTTTTCTTTGTTACAGACTTCTAAAGACAGCGGAGGCCTTGGCAATTCATGACTTTAAGCCGGACCTTTATGTACAAAAGAAGTATGTACAATCCCTACTTCTGCCTTGGTCGCAGAGGGATAGACATTTATTTATATATAGAACAATTCATAGGATGGCGTCGGTGGCACAGTGGTTGGGACTCTCACCAACCATGCACGTGGTCCGAGGTTCGATCCCCTGCCGACCCACACCTGATATCTATGGTCAGCCTGCAAAATTTGGGCTACCGATATCCATGCGGAAAATTCCATACCTGTACCAAAAATACGGTGTGGAATCAAGCTGTAGTAAAAAAAAAAGTACAGTAGTTGGAACGGGGGTTCAATTATAGGATTTGTAGGCAAATAGAATAAAAATAAAAATGTAACGTAACATTATATGAGTTCTGATAACACAGAATTTAACGTTACAAAACAGAATTGATTCAGAATGACAAGTGGAACAAGTGAAATAATACCAGGGACAATTCGAAGTCAGAATAATGCTTTTTCACTCTCTTGGACGAAACTCTAGTCGAACACATACAGATTTGATCAGCAGCGGGATCGTGCCCTTCAGGTTATTGAACAGTAATGGTCGACTGGTAAAGGCTATTCTCAAAGATACAGCATGGAATGTTCTTTTCAGTGACAGTGAAATCCTTCTTTTCATGATATCGAAGCTAAGTAACCTTGGAATTTCAAGCCCATGTACAGCATTTTCTCCGTTGTGGATGTTAAGTCACATTTCATAGGATTTGACTGTTTATTCTTGTCTTCAAACCGTGCTGGAAACCCATTATCTATTTGGATTTTTCGTAAAATATTTAACTCTTCCTCCACATTATCAGGACTACTTATGCGCCGAATGCGAGTGGCAAGTGACCAGACCAGGTTTCGTTTTCAACCATTGGGTATCCAGCTGTAGAAATCTGTCAGTTGACCATTCTATGACAGCTTTCTACAAATCGATCTCTTCATAGTTCCATCAGTTCTCCTTGACAAATTGGCATCCGGGAAATGAATATTAGACTAATTCTCCATCTTGAGTGTGAATTTTATCACTGGATTGGTGACTTCAATTGACCATTTTCTAGACTGGCCAGGAAACTGTTTGAAAGCTGATAATAAATTCGTTGAAATCAGTCTCTTCTCTAAATCTATTTTTTTGATTTTCTGAATCTAATATAAGTCAGTATTTCAAGTATAGCTTGCTCACAAGTCACATAGAAGATCCAGGTCCCACTCCAAGCCGACTCACTCCTGGACCTCACTAGCCAGTAGTAAGCAATACCACCAATAGTGAAAATTCAAAACTTGTGACCCAATGTTTTATTCAGAAGCAAAGCTAGCAAAGTGATAACGTATATGTTTATTTATTTTTTTGATTACAGCTTGATTCCAAACTGTAGTTTTGGTACAAGTATGAAATTTTCAGCATGGATATCGGTAGCCCAAATTTCGCAGGCCCTCCGTTGGTATCAAGTGTGCGTCGGCAGGGGATCGAACCTCGGACCATGTGAATGGTCGGCGAGAGTCCTAACCACTGTGCCACCGACGCTGCATTCCTAGTAATCCACAACGAGAAACTCACGGAATCCTTCCAAAAAGTGAAGACAGGAGTAAGAAAAGGCTGGTTGGCTGTCTGCCTATTATCTCCAATGATTTTCTTGATTGCAATAGACTGGATAATGCTACAGACAGACAGCGGGCCAGACAACTACGAGACAGGCATAAAATGGACCCTCACAAAAACTCGGAGGATCTGGATTTCGACAATGATGTATGTCTGATTTCCCACAAACTGGAAGATAGGCAAGTGAAAATCAACAAGTTGACAGAAGAAGCATGCAGAGAAGATAGGAATTCAGGTGAACATGGAGAAAACAGAGGTGATAAAGATTCCTGGCCAATAGCAACAGATACAACCACAACAACAGACAACAATCAACCAGCATAAATGGGAAAAATCTGAAAGAAGCAACCTCCTTCACCTACTCACCAACCTACGTGGGAAGCATCAAGTTAGTTGGTCGTCAATGTGAACGTGACATCGAGGAGGAAGTGATGCGAAGAGGAGATGAAAACATGTGGGCAGACGTCGAGCCAGGTGAAAACGTTGGCGGAGAACCGAACGTGATGGAGACGAGCGGCTGAATCGCTATGTTATTCTAGGAACTAAAGGAAATAGTAATAGTGTTCCACTGAGTTTTAGTTCTCCTGGTTTTATTATTTTTTCAATTTTGTGTATTTATATATTTATACAAAGAGTTATTGTTTAGAATAAAGTGATTATTATTACTGTTATTTTTGTACGAAATGTTTTCTGCATAACTACTACAAGCTTTCTTTTAAAATAAGAGTATGGAGGATTCACTGCTAGACACCATCCTCTAAATGAAATTATATTAACCCTAAAGTGTCGTCAAAGTGTCTGTATAAGAAGCTGACAAAAGGTCGAAAGAGATCGAGCATGTCGTTCTTGAGGAAAAAAACAAACAAACAAACAAACAATTGATTGAAAATTACTCGTAAGATTGCTTACTTTTAACTGTTCTGCAGTTAATCCTCTCCTCACTGGTTGTTCACTCCCGGCTAAATCAATTATTGAAAATTTCCCATAGTATGATTCTTGATTGATTTTATTGGTAATATTCAAAAATATGCTCAGGATGAGATGAGATTTTGAGCTGTGGAGAATTTTTGATTCTATAGGAAAATAATTATAATTAGAGAAATTCACAGTAAGAAAATGTGCACTAAGGTAGATAAGCTGTTGGAAATCTTTACTGATTTATCAAATAAGATAGTTGAAAAGAGTCTCTTCGCTGAAAATTGTGTTCTAAATAAGATAGTTGTCGATATTGAAAACACTTTATTTCCCCCATACGAATTTAAAACAAGCAACAAAGCAGGTTAATAAAGCAGGATGATTTAATGAATTCATTAAATTTGGGTAGAACTCGTCAGCTGCTCTGTACTCTACATACACGGATATATATATACTTTTGAAATTACATTTGGGAATATAAGACTGATGAGCAAATCAACTACACTGAATTAGTCATGCAGAAAGACAAGTGTGTGGTAATGTTTTCCAGGTCATGTTCAATTAGATAAAGGGGGAGAGGGAGTATGAGAGATCAAGATTAAGATAAATGGCATTACGCTTCAGTTACATCACTTAGATAAACAATTAGACATTAGAGAATATAACAAGAATTCCAAACAGAGTAATATCAATAGTAATGGTTATAATAACAATAATAATAGTGTTGAAGTGAGTTAAGATAATCCTACTGATAAAGGATAGTTTTAAATGAATCAAGAATAATAAGAGGTAGAATATTAAGTAAAACGTATTACCATGGTAGATTCAGAGTGACAATCATCTGCTTTTGCACACAGAGACACCTGGTTTACAAACTCGAATTGCACAAGCCTCCTCTGCAATTCCAAGCGCATCTTCTTGTTTCTTTACCTGCTGACAATAACAGTGAATGACTTGACAGCGTCGATATCATTTCCATAGTCCACGAGATGTTTCGTTATTGAGGTTTTTGACACTTTGTATTCAGCTGTTTTCAACCACTTGGTAAATGCTCCATCATGCGAGTAGATAATCGCCTTTCTGTAGACCTATGCGTATTTGCTTCCACAAATACACTCAAATTGATATACAGAGTTTGAAGTGTCGACGATTGGTGACTGGTCTTTCTCCGATTGTTAAAGAAAGCAGGTTTTGCAGCATAATAAGTTCTCTTGATACCTTTATCGGGTCTTCGTTCGACTACTTCCTGTACATCGTCTCCTTTGAATGGCAAACCAATATAGACAGATTTCTTCGGAACTGTTTGGATAGTCTTGTAGGGGCTGATTTCTCTAGAGTATTTATTAATGAATTTCTCAGGATATCCATTCTTAGATAAAATATCCTTCAGAGCTTTTTATTTCATGCTCAATTGTACTATCAGAACAAATTTTCCGTGCTCTATTGAACAGTGTTCTGACTAAGTTCTTTTTGTACTGGATTGGAAGAAAGCTCTTGAAATGCATGTGCTGTCCTGTTTATGAAGACTTTCTAAATATAGATCTTTCGATTGTTCCATCAATCATTTTCACTATAAAAACGTCTGTTTGCAATTCTTGTTATATTCTCTAATGTCTAACTGTTTATCTAAGTGGTATAATTGAAGCGTGATGCGTTTTATCTTAATTTTAATCTCCCATACTCCCTATCCCATTATCTATTTGAACATGACCTGGAAAACATTCACACTTGTCGTTTTGCATGATTAATTTAATGTAGCTTATTTGCTTATCAGTCTTATATTTCTCAATTTAATTTCAAAAGTATATACATATCCGTGTATATAAAGTAGTGATGAATTTATTAAATACTGCTTTATTGACGGCTTTTGTCGCTTGTTTTAAAGTTGTCGATGTGCAATGCTGGTTCAACAGCAGAATACTTGCCAGTCATACACACGTCGTCTGTGTTCGATTCTTAACCAACGGACTCTCAGACAACGTTTTGTGTTTACTAGCCGACAAGAGAGGGGTTGGATGAAAGACTAAGAATGTCACACCGTAAAACAATGCAACTACTAATGAAGCTTTGGAGGTTTGAGTTCAACGTCTGAATTGGAACAGAAGGAATGGGAAGAAAGTTGTAGTTATCAAAATGAGAAAGATTATGGTCGTTTTAGAAGAAATGTTGCGAAAAAAATAGGAAGAACCTGATTAGGGAAGTAACGTTTCACTTACAGGCGACACAGATGAGGATGTTAAAACCATAGAGCTGTTCATTACCCTTGAAATGAGTATGGTGGTCTATAATCCACAGAGAGCTGTCAGTTAATTCAGTGGGTTTTTGTACTTCAGAGAATTGATTAACTTGTCACGGGAAGCATCTCAACACAGTCTGCTACACACACACACACACATACGCTTGATAGGCCATCCAATAGGATCCAAGTGGAACAAGGCGATGAGTTAGATGGCCAAGTGAATCAAAAATTTCGGGTTAAAAATTACAGCAGAAAATACGGTACTATGAAAATGTGCCTCTAATACCCTATGTTTCTTTGGGAATCCAAAGGGCTATTATAATAATACTTACTGACTCAAGGTTTCTCATCTATCTAAACCGGATTCCTATTATTATTATCTGCTTTAGTTCCTACAGGAACATACGGTTTCAACCCAGCGTTTCCTTTACATTCAATTCTCCAGCAGTGTTTTCACCTGGCTCCACGTCTGCCCACATGCTTTTATCTCCTCTTTGCATCACCTTCTCCACTCCATGTCACCTTCGGACTGACCACCAACTCCACCGCTTCCCATTCTGGTTCCACTTGAGAGATGGCCTGGCGTCTGATGTCATTCACTTGATGGTGGTTTGTTTTCTCAGAGTATGGCCTCCAATCCACTTACTTCAATTTCTTCCTGCTTATTTGTTGCACAGTTGATTCCTGCTGGGTTGGTCCGTTCATTGCCGGACATCCCTCCCTGTTGCTGATCTTTTCTGACCGGCCATCTGATCTTGAGTAGTGTCGAGCGAAGACAGCTGTTGATGAAGGTGTGTAGTTTGTTGGAAGTGGCCTTCGTGAAGCGGTGCCATGTCTCTGATCCGTATAGTGAGTAGCATTGACTTCACATTGGAGTTGAAGATGTGGATCTTATTTTTCATGCTGAGTAGTGCTGTTGATCTCCACACAGACATGCTTTCTTGACCCTCGCTTTGATATCTTCGTCAGTCCCACTTGTAGTTGAAATAGTGCTTCCCGGATGGGCAAAGGGGGTTGCTTCTTTCAGATTCCTCCCATTTATGCTGGTTGACTGTTGTCTGTTGATGTTGCTGTTGTTGTCGCTGTTGGTCAGAAGTCTTCATCACTTTTGTTTTCTCTATGTTCACCTGAAGTGAAGGCCTGTCTTTGATGCTTCTTCTGCCAACTTGTTCCTTTTCACTTGCATACCTTCCAGTTTGTGAAAATCAGACATTCATCATTGACAAAGATCCTCCGAGTTTTTTGTGTGGGTCCATTTTATGCCTATCTCCTAAACGGAGATTTAGACACGCATAAATTTCAAAAAGTTATCAGGTTGCAAGTTGACCTCATTTCACTTCAGTCACTGAATAGAACCTCACAGTTCATTTAAGTAGGCCATAATTTATTTTCACAACTCAGTCATTAGTGAAAGGGCGATTGATTTTGGGGCTAGATCGCATTCAGCTGCCTACTTTTAATGATAAGCGATAAATAAAAGTGTAACTTTCTGAGGTATTTAAACATTGTTTTAATCCACAGACGGTTTGCTTCAATTTAACTATGATCTAGATTTTGATTTCAGCTTTCCCTGTTATTATTATTATTATTAATGCGATCGTTCTGAATAATTCACTTATTTAAAACGGACTGTTTCTGATAACAGAAGTTTCCGTTAGCTTCTGGACATAAATTCATATCATTTGAGGCTTTCCTAATAGATTGATAACTCAACTCAAAAATTAAGAGTGAATGTTTTCACTTCATCCACTCCTAGAAGAACTATGAACAGGAGTGCAACAGTACAAGTCGCCACATTCCATGCAGCCCACAAAGGCACAAAAGAAAGACGGACAGAGAAATAACTCAAAGGAAGTATGAAAGGAAGAGGAAAGCAAGGTGAAAAGACATGTTAGTTTAATGGATCAAAAAGAGTCAGTACATCTTCACTGTCATTGACAACGATTCTGATCCATATCACCAATTGTCTCCCGTAGTCATTAGTCCTTAGAATCCTGAGGACCCCAACTAGGCAGTCCACATCTCTACGCTTGGCCGACTCAAACCGACTGTTGAAGATTTCAAGGAGTAATGCCTAGTTTTCGTCTGACAATCACTAGTTCTTTTCCAACCTCATCCTATTTCAGTTAACACTGCCCGTGAAGGAAGGCCATAGCTCGGCATTCGTAACACATGTCCCTGGGAGGACCCCTTTATCTATCGACTTCCTACAAAATAGACTGTAAACTCCAGTGGTTATTTTTAATTTCTGATGGTTGTCTTGCCTATCTCATCATCTAATATCAGAGTTATGCATACAAACTAAATGTGCGTCGGTGGCACAGTGGCTAGGATTCTCACCGACCATGCATATGGTCCTGGGTTCGAGCCCACGCCGACGCACACCTGATATCTATGGTCGGCCTGCAAAATTCGGACTGCCGATATCACATGATGAAAATTCCATACTTGTACCAAAAATACAGTGTGGAATCAAGCTGTAAATCAAAAATAAAAAATAAACAAAAAAAATGTACACGCTTCATGACTATATTCTACTGATTGACAAATATGAGTAGTCGGAAACCTCCCATGTTAGACAGCAGTACGTGCTAACAAGAATGAAGTGATCTAAACATAGGCCAATTGAATCATTTGTTTAGAGTTTAGCTTATCAGCCATGTGCCCACCTGGATTTTGGCTATCCACTTGGCTGAACTGGTTAGCAAACACTTCTATTTGATGCAAGTGTTTTTCAACTACTCATACCGATTGTCAGTAGTATAAAGATATATGACGTCAATTAATTTGTTTGCTTCTCTGACTGCCGTTTATAGTATAAAGCAGAGTACATATCGCACACCTATGGTCCCACTAAGAACCTTCAGGTTATAAGATGAACACATTGCCTACTGCTCAGTCACTGAAATGGGTTCTGATAGCCCATGAATGCTAACTTCTGCTGATTCACAAGATATAACGCCACCAGTAGCCATGGAGCATACTGTTGAAGAGTCTCAGACTAGAATGAAACCACAAAATGGACATTATTATTATCATAAAATAAAATAATTATTCATAATAAGTTTTAATCCCCGTTAGGATCAATACCACTTGTATGGGGACGTAAATAAATCAATCTATTGTAATAATCTCTTATTTTGTTTTAATGAATCAAAAATAACTGCGTGGGAAATTTGAATGACTGAAATATCCTTCATAAATATCAAAAAACAAAAGAATACAATTAGTGATCTGTTTGATATATATATGTATGCATACACTTGGCAACTGAATAACTAACTAACTAACTTGGAAATGTTTTATTGATTGGTATAATTTGTTCGACGATTTGACGAAACATACTGGCATCATTTACACTTAGTCTTGTAGCTTTAGGAACATCAACAATACCATTATCGTTCATGATGATTTCCAGATCTTCTTGCTGCAGTGTTTAAGATTTATGGAACATAAAAAAGCACAAGCATTTTCGATAAGTCATTTCATAGTTTATTCACATTACACGTCAAAGTACACAAAAAGTTTCCTGATGACCCTTCAAAATTCGTATTCTAGGTCGATATAGACAGTAAGTAAGTCGGAAAAACCAAGCTAGCTAAAGACTCTTAATTCTGTAACTTCTTCTTCAATATTTCTGAGTCAACTTTCATGTTGAGTGTCACCCCTGATATTAATAATTAATAATAATAATATTATTACTTCCTTCAATTCCTGAGGAACATAGAGTTTCAGCTGCATGTCTCCATTGGGTTCGGTTCTCCACAAACGTTTTCACCTGGCTTCAAATCTGCCCACAAGCTTTCATCTTCTCTCCACATGACCTCTTCCAAGTCACCCTTGGACGACCAACTCACCGCCTCCTTTTCGGGTTCCACTCGAGCAACGGCTTGTTTAGTGATGTCACTCACTTGATGGTTTCCTCAGAGTATGGTTAATGCACCTCCATTTCTTCCTGCCTATTTCTTCCACAATCGTTTCCTGGGTTGGTTCGCTCACAAAGATCCCTGTTGCTGATCTTTACTGGCCGGCCATCTAATTTTGAGAGATACTGAGCGAAGACAGCTGTTAATGAAGGTGTGAAGTTTGTTTGAAATGCTCTTTATGACGCGCTGGCCAAGTCTCTGATCCGTATAGTAAGTGGCACTGACTTCACATTGGATTTGAAAATCCGGATCTTAATTTTGATGCTGAGTGCTGTTGACCTCCACACAGACTTAGGAGTAATGAAAGATTGTCTTACTTTGAGGATTCTTGCTTTGATATCCTCATCAGTTCGGCGGTAGTTGAAACGATGCTTTCGAGGTAGGTTAAGGAGGTTGTTTCTTTCAGGTGTCTCCCATTTATGCTGATTGTTGTCTGTTGTTATTGCTGTTGTTTGCTATTGGTGTTGCCCAGGAATCTTCATCACCTCCGTTTTTTATATGTTCACCTGAAGTCTTATCTTTGATACTTCTTCTGATATAAATATAATACACTTTCTAAATATAACTCAATCAATGGTCAAAATCCAACTGTTTTCCGGTCTAGAATCACATCGGTTTTGTTGTAATCAAGAGGATTCAACTGACACCAAAAAAAGGATAAATTCAAAGGGCATCATCTTTCTCTCTCTCTCTCTCTTACCTGGATGGAATTGCTTAAGGAAAGCAAGATAAACATTCGTTACTATAGAATCAATCTCAAGGTTTACAGGAATTAACCAGCACACTAATTTCAATATATGTGATTCAGGGGAAACCGTTTCCAACAGGCTACTGAACACTTTTATCGACAATTACCTCTTCCACTCGACAATGAAGATCAGATGGCCAGGCGCAAAGTATAGGCAAGCACCAGCAGCACCACCAACAACAACGAGTAACTTTGGCCAGTAAGGAATCAGTCAGCATATAGGCGGAATTAAGTGGTGGTGTATTAGGAGTATTCGCGTTGATGAGACATCTAAGTAACATAACACAATAAACATACCAATAAAGAGGAATCTAAACGGAAGACGATCAGTTCAGTGTATATTCGAGAGTGCAAAGAAGGCGATCATGTGAAGAAAAGATGAAAGCCTATGGGCAATCACTCTGGGTGGAATAGAGATATACTTTTACAGCCATATTTTCTACTTAGAACTCAACTTAAAAAAGAAAACAATTTTCAAACAATCAACAAATTAAGAAAAAAAGTTCTTTTATTTTTTGTTTACAATGTTTTCCCCATTTTTATTGAATACATCTATCAATCGATCATTGTACAGTTGAAGAAGCATCAAAGAAATAGACGATTTATATTTTTCACTAGAGAGTGAGAGAAAGAGAGAAAACAAATAAGATTGAATGAACTGTGGAGTATCATTATTCTTTATAAAACGAATATTTAAGCAAATTTTACCAAAGGAAATTCAAATGCTAGAAAAGATTAACACAGCCTAAATAAATCAATAAATCGATCAATAAATAATGGTGGCTCAAGGTCTTCCTTTTATAGTTAGGTCTATATAAAATGAAGAAGAAATCAAATATTAAACATTTTGGAGGGGAGTCAATCTGAAAGTGATGTGAACCAGTGTTGGTATTCAAAAATGCAGATGAAGCTTTCTACATATTCTGACTGGTTAACTGGTAAACAGCTGTTTGATTCAAAGTTCCAAACTGATACAATCTTATTGAACAAAAGAGTTACCGTCTTCATTATTATTATTATCATTATTCCCTTGAGTTCCGAGTGGAATATATGACTTCAGTGACACACCTCTACTTTTTTCTGTTTTCTGCCATCTTCTTAAGCTGGATCCACGGTTGACCATAATCTCTCATCTCTTCCTTCCTGACACACGATCTCCTCCAAGTCACCCTCGCACTGACGACCCACTGATAATTTCCCATTCGGATTCCCCTCGAGGGCACTGACGGTTTCTTCACTTTCTCCTACATATCTGTTGGGTGATTGGGTCTCGCCTGTTGGTTTTTTTCCCAGAATGGCCTGTTATTAATTCTTTCTGCCTGGTCATTTAATCTTCAGTAGGGAGTGAAGGTCTTCATGGCTAACCTTAGTTTTTTTTTTTTGGGCGTCTATGTTACCTTTAGCAGATATAAGTTTATGCGCCAGTTGTTCGAAATGAATTACACAAATCAGATTTGTTCGCCTACTAGGCTGTGAGTCATACAGTTGCTCAGAGTGAAGCAGGTAGAGTGTATATCTTGAACCTGGAAATCATCAACTGTTAGTCTGAGGCCTAAGCTAATGAATTACATCTCCACTACATTTCAACAACTTATTTTATTCGTAAAGATTATTCAGGTATCTTTATTCATATTATTTCTCTGGGTTGAAAGTGGGAAATAGGAATTTAGCAGCAAATCTATACTTTATCCTCCCTAGCTGGCTGCATGATTGCACATGCAGCCTTCATTTCTTCCCCATACATTCTCCTCCACATCACTCTCAGCCTATCACCTCTCATCCTATCATATTTAGGTTTCACTTGAAGGCTTGCCTGTGAAGTGGTATCTTTTGATCGTTTCCTCAGCTCATTCAGGACTTGTCTGCATTTCCTTCTGCAGATATGATGGACAACAGATTGCTGGCTGGTTTTCTACTAGCCACAAATCCTTGTTGATTATTCTCTCTGGTCAGCTATCTAATGCTCAGTCTCAAGCGAAATGGGTAGTATCTGTTGATAAAAGTCTGCAAGCGTCTGCTAGAAGTAATTTTTTCATGATGCGTTAAGTCTCCGAACTTTAAATGGTTCACTAGGTGGTGTTTATCCTGGAAAGAGAGTGAATGTTGAGTGTGGGGCTAGGGACTCTATCCCGGAAAGTCAATAATAATAATAATAATTTGCCTTATTCCGAAAACAGTACTAATGATACAGCAAGGAATTTTCAGCATTCAGTACAATATTGCATCTAATTTACTCAAAAACGACAAAAAAAAAATAAACATTACATAATAATAATAATAAAACGAATGTTATAGCAGCTACATAGCAAAATACCGTATGCAGTACGGAGATAAATATGCATAAAGTATAAAGTCGTAGTAATAATAATAATAACAACTAAAATAAAATAGCAAAGTTTTAATTAAACGATATAAAATTACAGAAAGATGAACAATGAAAGGGTCGATTCACTTTGCTAATTACATAGTAACTTGTAAGTTTCACATCTAACAGAGTCTTCGTCACATAAAGTACGTGCTAAATACGGTATTGTAGAACTTTTGTACTTAGTGGTTCGAGCATATAACTTTTTATATTGACTTCTCGTCCTACCTGATGAGATGTAAGGGGATAGTTGTGAATAAAGGGGGTGCAGAGTGTCTGACAGTATAGCCTTTGTCCGTTTTGTACAGGAATTTATGTATCTCTCGATTATAGTATTGACGAGCTCACTTAGTGGCACACCACAAGCCCTTTACTATTATTATTGCTCCATTGGGTTCCTAGTGGAACATAGGGCCTCAACTGCACGTCTCCTCTTGCCACTTCTGTCTTCTGCTGTACTTTACACCTGCATCAATGTTAGTCCATACTCTTTCAACTCCTCTTCACACGATCTCCTCCATGTCACCCTTGGACGTCCCACACGCCGCTTCCCTTTCGGGTTCCACTCGAGGGTTTGACGCGCGATGTCACCCAGCGGTCTCCTCAGCGAGTGTCCGATCCATCTCCACTTTCTCCTGCATATTTGTTGGTTGGCGACTGGTTCTTCCTTTGTTTGTTCCCATAGTTTCGTGTTGGTGATTCTTTCCGGCCCGGTCATCTGATCTTCAGTATGTAGCCAGCGAAGACAGTTGTTGATAAAGGTGTGCAACAGGCTGTTGGAAATATTCTTTGTGACCCACCCGCCAAGTTTCTAATCCGTATAGAAGAGCTGACTGACTTGACGTTGTTTGTATTGAAAATCCGACTGAATTTTGTTGTTGATTCTGAGTTGAGTGACGAAGATTTCCAGATTGGTTTCAGGTTGATGAATGTGTGTGTTTCTCGCTCGATTTGACATCCTCATCCGTTCCGACTTCCCTAGATGATAAGTGAATGAAGTAAACTCTTTCAAATTCCTCCCGTTGATGGTGATTGACGCTGGATGTTGCTGTTGTTGTTGGTTTGTTATTTTCATAACCTCCGTCTTGTCTATGTTCACCTGGAGTCCTGTCTTCTCCGGCTGCTTCTTCGACCAATTTGTCGGTCGGTTTTCTCTTGTAAGTCTTCGATTTTGTGTGACATCAAGCATAAATGATCCACGCGCGTAATCCAGGTCTTCTAGGTTCTCCACATCGGTCCAGGATATCCCTGTCTTCTCGTTCCCCACTCACTGTCTGACACATAATCCAGTCAGTCCACCACAATTAGGAATATCACTGGTGATAATAGGCACCCTTGTGTGACTCCTGTGTTTACTCCAAACGCCTAGCTGAGTTTCTCGTTGTGGATCACTTGAAATGTGCCGCCGTTTTCGTACAACTGTTGAATAAGGTTGATGAATATTTGGGTGCTGCACGCGGTAGTACTCGAGTAGTTTCCAAATTACTTCGCGGTCAATGCTGTCTGTCGAAGGCCTTATCAAAGTCTATAAAGTTGAGGTATAGGTTCGAGCATATAACTCCTTATATTGACTTCTCGTCCTACCTGATGAGATACAAGGGGATAGTTGTGAATAAAGGGGGTGCAGAGGGTCTGACAGTACTGCCTTTGCTCATTTTGTACAGGAATTTATATACCTCTCGACTATAGTATTGGAGAGCTCACGCAGTGGCAGACCACATGCCCTACTCACAGCATTTAATACTCTTCGTAATATGATATAGTCTTTTTTGAGAAGCCCAGGAAAGATTAATGGAGATCAGTAGAGTACAATAGGTAAAATACAGGAGTTTAAAATTTGCAAAACTAAAGGTTGGTTGATAGCTGATCGTTTCCAACTGATACAGAAACCTTAAATCACAGATGACCTTATTAATCCATTTATTTGCATGATCACAAAAGGCCAGTTAACTGAGCTGGTCACTGAACACATGAAATCATTGACATCAAAGGTAATAGTTATGCATAGACAGATTTGATATGCGTAGGACCTGGTTGTATGATAAAATGTTTGTCAACCAACTACGCATGTGGTATGAATTCAGCCCCCCCCCTCAACTGACGTACTCCAAAACCTCGTTTAACAGTCAATAGGAAGCTGGCAAAAGAGGGTGGGTCCTGTGTACTGCTGGGAACCCTACCCTGTTAAAAAAAACACCTCCTTCACAGAAAGTCCAAGACTTAAAACCAGCCGGAACAAAAGGAATGAGAAATGGACCTTCGTTTCAGATTATTACGTGTAAGAAAAACTAGTAATAATTTTTCCTTCACGTTCCCAGTGGAACACAGTGGGCTTCAAGCTAGTGGCTTGAAGTCTCTGCAGCAGTTTTTGCTTTTTACAGGATAGGGTTGCTGGCCTCATACCCAACCTTTCCTCTCTACCAGCATTATTTCTGGCTTAGCGAGGTAAAGGAGTGAGTCGGCCGGGTATTGAACGCCGGACCATGTGCATAGTCAGCGAGCGTCCTAACCACTGTGCCACCAACGCACCGAAGTGTAAGACAAAGGAGTCCACTTATTAAGTATGTATGTGTGTAGTACTCAGTCATCTGGACTGAGCCACATTCATTGATATTGGAGCCTGGAACTCAGTAACAGAAATTCATCTTCTAAAACCAGTGAGCTGCATCTCCACAGATTGGATATGAAGCTGAAATTATAGATATGGTATAGTAAGTCTTCTGGGAGGTTTTTGACTGGAGGATTTCCAGGTCTACAACACTATCACATTATTCGTATACAAACATTTCTTTAGGAAAAGTGACCTTTAGTTACTTAAAATGCATATCAGTAGTATAGTTACATTTTATACAATTTGTGAGTTTACGCATTGAAAAATTTTATTTGCTTGAATTTAATAAGTTAAATAAACTATACCATCAAGAGGCCATTAGGCAAAGAATACATACATCGATACCACCTTCTACTCTCATAGTCTCTGACTACTTTTCAGTCTATTCAAAATGCTTATTATCGAAGATATTTCAGGTAATCATTCTCCTGACATGTGTAAATGAACTGCCTAACTCCAGATACAGAATAGGCACTAATTTCACTTCACTTAGTGAATGTTTTATTATTATTATTGTATCCTTTAGTTCCTAGAGGAACATAGAGCTTCAGCTGCGCACCTCCATTGCCTTCTGTTTTCTGACAACTTTTTCACCCCGCTCCAAGTCTTCCCACATGCTTTCATCTCCTCTTCGCATGACCTCCTCCAAGTCACCCTTGGACGACCAACTCACCGCCTCCTTTTCGGGTCCCACTCGAGCAACGGCTTGTCTAGTGATGTCACTCACTTGATGGTTTCCTCAGAGTATGGCTGCCAATGCACCTCCATTTCTTCCTGCCTATTTCTTCCACAATCGGTTTCTTGTTGGTTTGCTCACAGAGATCCCTATCGCTGATCTTTACTGGCCGGCCATCTAATCTTGAGTGATATTGAGCGAAGACAGCTGTTAATGAAGGTCTGAAGTTTGTTTGAAATGCTCTTTATGACGCGCTGGCCAAGTCTCTGATCCGAATAGTGAGTAGCACTGACTTCACATTTGATTTGAAAATCCGGATCTTATTTTTGATTCTGAGTGCTGTTGACCTCCACACAGACTTAGGAGTAATGAAAGATTGTCTTACTTTGAGGATTCTTGCTTTGATATCCTCATCAGTTCGGCCGGTAGTTGAAACGATGCTTTCGAGGTAGGTTAAGGAGGTTGTTTCTTTTAGGTTCCTCTCACTTATGTTTTAGCCGTTTATGAATGTTTTAGCCAAGTAATATTTCAAAGATAGTCATATATGACTGTTCAGCAGTATGCATCCACTGAGGTTCGAATACAGGACTTTTTGTGGTGGTGTGAAACAGACAATGTTTGCCAACAGAATGTTATTCTAACATGTTCACACAGTTCGATTCGGCATTAGCAAGACAATAGGATATATCTGTTTGGACATTCGATTTGATGTTAGAATCGGAATGTTATTCCTACAGTTCAATACTGACTGCATTGGTAACAGCATACTATGTGCTTCGGTGGCACAGCAGATAGGAAGCTGACCGACCATGGACATGGTCCGGGGTTCGACTACCGGCCGACGAACACTTGGTATCAGTGGTCGACCTGCTATATATGGACTAACTATATCACATTCCATACTTGTACCAAAATACTGTGTGGAATCTAAGTCTAATATAATATTTAAAAAATATAAAATATTATATATTTGAACATTCTATTTCGTGTCATTTGATGTAAAGCGAAATCACACGCTCAGTGGTTGGTTAAAGAATATAAACTGTAGATATATAAACAACGGCCTACTATCGACAGTTTCCATTTGTACCAAAGTTACATAGATGATACTTTCATCATCATATGCGACGACAATACCGACATCGAATTGATAACTAAGGAGTTCAACAGCTACAATCATGCCATCAAGTTCACGTAGGAATCAGAGATTAACTTGGAATTCCAATTTTCGGATGTTTTCTAAAGAGGAGATCTGATGGTTCTCTTCAAAGATCAATCTACAGGAAACCAACATGGAATGGTCCGTACACAAATTTCCATAGCTGGGTCCCTTTGAGAAGAAAGAGAAATCTGATCCATTCCTTATCCTTAAGAATAAGGATGATATGTTCAAGTGATACAATCGATAGGGAACTGGGGCGACTCAGACAAGTTCTCATAGAAAATGTATATCCTCCAAGATTTATCAAGAAAAACATGAAGTTAAGACGAAAGACTGAAAGAATTCAGACAGTGCCGAAGAAACTGCTTTTTATTAGCATTGAATGTGAGGGTTATGCCGCAGCTGAGATCCTGAAGAATCGCCTATGCAGATCACTGAGGAAAGCCTTCTTTATGGCTGAGCTACGTACTAATTTCTACAGCCGAAAAATGATCAACGGATGTGTGAAGGATAAACCGCTGCTTTGGGCCACCTCATTGTGTGTTTATAAATTCACCTGCTCGTGTGGAGCTAGTTATATTGGCCACCCGCACAAAGCGCACACTTTCCAAATGCATCTCTGAACATTATCCGGTATAGTTGGTTAGCAAAAGGACAATGCAAAACAATTACTAGGTCAATCCTTGAGCATTTAGTGAACACAGGCCGCGTAGCTTCAGCACAGTCGTCTTTCAAGGTCATCTACAAGGTGAGGTCAAATGGTACAGAGGGGATCAGGTTTCGGCTTTTGTGTCTAGTGGAAGCGTTAGTAATTTGTCAATACAACTCCAAACTCTGTATACAGAAAACGTTTGTCCAGTCTCTTATTCTTCCTTGGTCTTAACCTCTTCAGTAGTCGTTCCGTGTAACAATTTTCTTTTTTTTTCAATTTTAGTTTTACTTTGCTTTTAAATTTAATAACTAATTCAATATTTTAACAAAGCAAGAACTACAGTTGTAGCAGAATAAAGTGGAACCATCACTTATGTCGTTGCCTTCTCGTCAGCTGCTTACATGCCAAAGACATTATTAAATACATATCCACAAAAACAATTTTAACATACTTGCACACAGAGTTCATTTTAAACAAAAATCAATCGATCAATATATGCATGCAGTAATATATATATATATATATATATATATATATATATATGTAATATTAAACTCTATTCCTAACATAATAACCATACACAATGGAAACTTTTGAGCATCTCGCATTCAGATGAAAGAGGGATGAAAAATATCCAGTTACCAGGGCATATGTTCCTTTTGTACATTTTCACACCCTCTTCACACTTGTTGAATTGACACTCAACTGCCACTTTTTCTCTCACTCAATAGCAATTTTGTACCTTATCAAATTTCCAACTGGCGAGGAATCATGCTCCTGTCGACGCCAAGTAAAGTCCTGAGTCGCATCATCCCGGAGAGATTAAAGGACGCACTGGATACAGAACTCCGACCACAACAAGCTGGATTCAGGAAAGGCAAATCATGTACTGACCAAATTACAACTCTACGCATCATCATCACAGAACAAAGCATGGAATAACAATCAAACCTAACTCTACCTCAACTTTATAGACTTCGAGAAGGCCTTCAACAGCGTTGACCGCGAAGTAAATTGGAAACTACTCGAGTACTACGGTGTACCCCAAATATTCATCAACCTTATTCAACAGCTGTACGAAAACGGCGGCACATGTCAAGTGATCCACAACGGAAAACTCAGCGAGGCGTTTGGAGTAAACACAGGAGTAGCGGACAAGGGTGCTTATTATCACCAATGATATTCCTAATTGTGGTGGACTGACTGGATTATGCGTCAGACAGTCAGTGGGAAACGAGAAGACAGGAATATCCTGGACCGACCGACGTGAAGAACCTAGAAGACCTGGATTTCGCGCGTGGATGATTTATGTTTGATGTGACACAAAATCGAAGACTTACAAGCGAAAACCGATAAAGTGGTCGAAGAAGCAGTCGGCGAAGACAGGACTCCAGGTGGACATAGACAAGACGGAGGTTATGAAAATAACCAGCCAATGACAACAACAGCAGCAAACATCCAACGCCAGTCACCATCCAACGGGAGGGATTTGAAAGAGGTTACTTCATTCACTTATCATCTAGGGAGCATTGTCTCAACTACATGAGGAACGGACGAGGATTTTGAATCGAGCGAGAATCGGGAAGGCGAGAAACACATTCCCTCATCAACCTGAAACCAATCTGGAAATCTTCGTCACTCAACTCAGAATCAACAACAAAATTCAGTCGGATTTTCAATAAAAACAACGTCAAGTCAGTCAGCTCTTCTATACGGATGAGAAACTTGGCGGGTCGGTCACAAAGAATATTTCCAACAGCCTGTTGCAGACCTTTATCAACAAACAACTGTCTTCGCTGGTTCTATACTGAAGATCAATCGGATGACCGGGACGGAAAGAATCACCAAAACAAGAAACTATGGGAACAAACAAAACAAGAACCAATCGCCAAGCAACAAATGTGCAGGAGAAAGTGATGGGTTGGACACTCGTGTCTGAGGAGGCCACCGGTGGGTGACATCGCGCGCGTGTCAGGCTATTGCTCGAGTGGAACCAGTCCGAAAAGGAAGCGGCGAGTGGGACGTCAATGCAAGGGTGAGTGACGTGGAGGAGTTCGTGTGAAGAGGAGTTGAAAGAGTGTGGACCAACATGGATTCAGGTGAAAAGTACAGCAGAAGGAAGACAGAAGTGGCAAGTGGAGACGTGCAGTTGAAGCCATATGTTCCACTAAAAACCCAAGGGAGCAATAATAAGGATACATTTTTGGTCAATGTAAATACGACTGTTTACAGCCTCTGAAGATGAATTCGTCGATAAAGAAAATTTTCTTTGCTGAATTTGTCTTCTAATTAGTAGAAGTTGGAATTTGTAGACCATTGAATCAGGTCTTTTGTTTGAAACCTGGTGGAGCTCTAGTTCTGAAGGGTCTGAAACTAGGAAAAAATAGGTGTTCAGTACTCCCATCTGGTCCTCTAACTGATATCAGACCCGTAAGCATTCAAATCGCTACAAACCGACACTTGGTAATATGTATGTAACCATCTTCATGAAGCATAATCATCATGAATATTCAAATGACTTACGTGAATGTTGGTTTATTCACCAATTCAAACAAATAATCCCCAACATGGGGTAATAATCCCAAGTTATCTTTACCTCCAAACAGTGTCGTTGTCTTACCACTGCCTGTTTCACCATAACCAATAATGCATACATTATAACCATCAACTGAAGACTGCACTAGCGGTTTGATTTCTTCAAAAATCTCATCTTGTGTTGACGTCTGATCAAATACACGATTAAAGTTATAATTTCTACTCGTGTGATTATATTTTATTAATACTGTATACTGATCTAAAGCTAATACTTTTGTATCATACTTCCCATTTTGAATTGTAGTTACACTGGCAGTAGTAGTATCCTTTTCACCGGGGGTTAAATTCACTGGACGTAAACGACAATAGATTCTGATATTTCCTTTCATATTCTCTATAAGATTATGATATTTTTTACGTAGTAGCATTTCATTATGATAATTTATTTTAAGTAATTCATTTTCTGCTAATTTTTCTTTGTCAATGTACAAGGTTTGATCAATGTTCAATGGTTTGTTTGACTTTAACATTTCTAATTCAGTATTGCTTTGTTTTAACAAGTATTTGTAGGCTTTTATTTCTTTTAATTTAGCTTGAATTTCTTGTTGATACTGTGGATTCAATACAGAAACAGGTGTGTTGACAAGAGGTATGTACACAAAATAATTGGCTAAAACAATGAATAAATCTAGATAAAGCAATAAGAAGGAAGACGTAATTTGTTTGAATCGTGTAATGTATTTGCGCGCGCATCACATTTCGAACAATCTGATCACACTTCATGGACTTGTCATAGGAGATATAAAGTAGCCAGAACACCAAGACCCACTCTCTCCAACTCGCCGCTAAGAAAGACGTGTACATTAAGCTACACTTTATGGGGCATCATAGCAGCCTGATAACTAGACGAAGATTGAACACTGCTGCTGTTAAAAAGACATTTTATGCAGCTAATATCATAATAATTAAAACAATTAGTCCCTTTGATAAATTTGAATAAGGCATTAAGAAGACAAATTTCGCGAGATGATATATTTCGTAGTTCTTTACAACCGCGGCGACCAGATTATGCAGTTGACACTCAAAGACTTCGGTCAGCCATCAAACTCACATTCTACGCCGCATCTCTTTTTCTCACTTGCCGAACATTTTCGATCCCTGTACCTACGATTAAAGGACGAAATTCTGTGGACTCTACTTCAAACTGTATCTACAAGTTCACCTGCAGCTGCGGTGACACCTATATAGGTAGAACTAACAGAATGTTCGAATGTCGTCGAAAAGAACATGTTCCAAAATGGCTAGTAAATCATATCGAAAATCCTAACGCGATTAATCTTAGTAGAAATCCAGCATCATCCATTGCAAAACACTTATTAATGTCTGGTCACAAAATAAATATTAATGACTGTTTCACAATTATTTCACATAACTCTAATTCAAGGTTATTGAAGGTGATGGAAGCACTTTGGATTAATCACATACAGCCTAAACTGTGTATACAAAAATCAATAGACTTCAATCTTCGCCTACCCTGGACTGCTTGATCTATCTTAATATGATTGGTCATTAGTATGTAATTTTGTTTTTATTTAACTGAGTAATTTTCATGAACTTTATTTTATCATTGTTAACCATGTTAGTTGTAAAGCGGTTGTAAAGAAACTACGAAATGATATCATCTCGCGAAATTTGTCTTCTTAATGCCTTATTCAAATCATAATAATTGACAATGTGAAGCTAATATCTCTATCTAAGCCCTCCGAACATGCGGAAAATGATGTCACATCCCAATGTATTTACAAATTTGAATGTACATGTGGACACACATATTTAGGAGGGAGGACTCAACGGTATCTGCCAGTAAATAAGAGCTGGCTTCACAGCATATTCCTAAATGGCTCCAGAAACAAATAAAATCTTCAGAACCCATTAATGGTGAGAACAGGAAAGCTTACTCCTCTATTGCGAAGCATATTATGAAGGAGACAGGACATAAAATTGACGTTAACACGTCTTTTAAACCTATCTATAAAACTTGTTTGGTGCGTATCCTAAAATTTGTGGAAGCCCTAGCTGGCAATTAGAAAGTTTAAACCACCTTTATGCCTTCAAAGCAACAATTCGTCATCACAGTAAACGTTCCTTGGTAAATTTTGTTTCGATACCGACCGTAGCAGATGAACTATTACCTCTCTGTTATTTGGTTTAGTGATCTTCATTGTTATTTTGACCTTGAAAATGTCCTTTTAACTTGACCTAAGTAGTCTATTTACTCACCTCTTAACTCTTTATAGATTTCGTATATACACAATCCTATGACAAGTTCGTGGAGTGTGATCAGATTATTCTGGATGTGTTACGCAAATATCCACATTACATGATTTAGACAAATTACGTCTTCCTTCTTATTACTTCGTCGAATAGAAAATTTTCTTCGCTGCAATTATCTAAATTCATAAAGGGAGCTTTGAAGTTCCATTAGCAGTGATGTTTATTTTTACTGGATGAGGTTGTTAGCCGCATGCTCCACATACCCTCTTTATCAGTCTTATTATTGGCTTAGCAAGGTAAAGGAGGGCCTATGGTAAACTTGTAGATTCCACTTTGGTTTCCACTTGGAGGTTTGGAATGTTTTATCACTTACATGTCTAATCATCAGTTTATATATCCCAATTCATCCCCATGTATTGCTGCATATCTCAAGAGAGGTTCTTGTCAGCTGAGTACAGTCTGTGATATTTCATAAAACCAGTTACATTATAATCTTAACAAGCATTATGTATGTCATCATGAATCAGTCCTCTACAGTAATGAAAGTCGTCGTAAAACAAAAACATCAGGATGGTAACGTGTTATCTCAAAGTGTCAATACAACATATTTTATAAGAATGATGTTCCTCGCAAACAAAAAAATGAACAAATCTGTTGTTAGGGTGGTGACAAATCTGTGATAATTGTGTCTGTCTGTTTGTTTTCGACAGAGAACTTTGCACATATGTGCGGTAGTTCAAGTCGCCACACTCCCTTCTCCTTGTAGCACACAAAGCAAGAGAAGAAAGTAGAAGAAATGCATAATAGAGACAGTAAACAGATGTTTTAGACAAAGGAATAGTAATAACGAAGAACAATATAGTTTCATTGGAAATCATAAGTTAGGAGGAGTGGATGCATGTGCGCTAGCCATTGAGAACGATGAGTTTGAGCCATATCACCAATTGTTTCCAACCATTGGTTTGTACCGTCCCGAGGACCCCAACCAGTCAGGAAGTCTACATCTTTCTACGTGGCTTAGACTACCTGTTGTAGATTTCATTGACTGGTCCATGTTTTGGTTTGACCACCATTAGCTAGCTCTTTTCCAGCCTGACCCTATATCAGCTAACATTGCCTGTAGGTCGAGGAAGGCAATGACTAGGCTGGGCATGGTAACATCTCAGTCGATGTAACTTCACAGCCTTGTCGATTGATTTCTCCTTCCGCCTACCTAGCACTCGACGCCTAATCTCAGTATTGCTCACCTTATTATACCACTTCACACGGGAAATAGAACGCAGGCACCTATGATCAAAGACAGCTAATCTATTCATATCTTCCACCTTCAATGGACAGGTCTCACTCAGCCATAAAGGAGGACGGAGCGAACTGATGAGCAGTACACATGCCCTTTATTCGATAGTCGGATATCTCGTCTACGCCAGAGACGGCGTAAACTGGCAAATGCGAAACTAGCCCTCTGTACTCGTGATGAGATTTCGTCCTAGGTCAACCCGTTGGCGTTGGCTGATGATACTTCCCAAATAAGTGAAGCGAACAACGTGCTCTACCACTTCACTTCCTATTTCTAATCTAGGCGTCGGTGTAGTCCAGTCCTGTAACATCATCTTGCATTTGGTGGGAGCGAATCGCACACCAAACATTCGTAGATTGCAGCTCAAGGTGTTTAGAAGACTCTGCTCTATTTTGTCAGCGTCCTCGCCTAGAAGGGTAATTGTGTAATCAGTGATAATAAAATATAGTCAGGAGAACTGATAAGATTGGAAAAGCAATGACGTCAAGTAAAAAGATGAAGATGGTGTGTGACAATGAGAGAACTCAGAGGATCAAGATTTATGTTTTACATGAAAGTAAAGAGAACCGAACAAGATTCGCGACACACTGGAGCATACAAAATAACTAATCAATAAAACAGCCCAAATCTTTTTTCAGTTTATTGAAGCTATCGCAATAAAACGAAAGAAACCTCACTAATATGCTCAAAAGGATCCAATAATCGATGAATTCCAACTTCTGCCAATTCTCATGGCATAGAGCGACCATTTCACAATGTCTTCTTCGATGAATTACTGCCTCATCTTCAACCTGTTGTACCTACTGGTCACGGCTTCCCACTAGAACCTCAAGTCACTGCCTAAATAGGGCCAGTCGCTAGTGAGCATTACATTGATTTTCATGTATTGGTTTTTTAGGGATTTTGTTTGGTTGGATGGAGGATTTCATCATGAGATGACATCAGTTAGAACCCCCACGATATGGGTGCGTACTGATGAAGAGTTCAAAACTAGGCCGACGAAACACCTAACTGTCTAGTACTCCCTGGCTGGTTTTTCAATGGTTCTCTAACTGATGTCAGCTCATGATGAAATCCTGCATCCAATCAAACAAAATCCCTACTAAACCAATACATGAAAATAGTTTTTTTTTTATCATATCAGTATAAAAATATTTACATTCTGTAGTTACCGGGTGTGCAGATGAATGCCATTAATGTTTACATAGCTGAATCGTAGAGTGAGAAGGATGACAGTACCAAATTACACTATCAAGACAAAATACAGTTAAACTAACAAAAATAGCCAATATATATGCGTCATTGTAGGGTGAGATTAAAAAACACCTTCTGTCTGAATACACAAGTTCAGGTTCCATGATATATACGTAAGACTATATACTACTAATTAGTTGAGATGAGTAGTTCACACCATTCACATTAACCAATAGTGCTTGCCAGCCAGCTACATCGAAGTTATTTAAATTTTGCCAGTGTGATTTACAGTGGCAACAGTTTGCCCAAGTATAGCTGACCAAAAAATCTATTGGTTTAAATTTTCATCTGATGATGGGCCTCAAACGAGTGCCACGGCTGTTCGGTGTTCAGATCACTTCGATCCAGCTGGCTAGCGACCACTACTGTCTGACATGGATGGTATAAAACTACTCATCCCAATCTATCAGTAGTATATAGTTCTATGTATTTATGCTTGTTTTCTTGATCACCTTTTAGAGTGTCAAGTAGGTCATATATTCTGGTGGTGTGAATAAGTTTAGTTCCCAAAGGAAATTGTGGTCAGTTTTCACCTTCTCTAACTGTGCACCTTACCACTTGTTAATTAATTTGGAAATCAGATATGATGAAGAAGATTTTTGTAGCTCAAATGGATGATTTTGATGTGGATGTTGTGTTGTCTGAGCTAGCTGGATGGTTTATTTGCAAAGCTTTCACTATTGCCCCAACACTAGGCAACATCTTCAGTGCATACACTTCAATTTAAAGGGAATGAGCTTCTAGATTCATCCACGAGTTTGTTAGTCATCTCTCCTGGTTACTATCTTGAACATAATTTCAGACATCTATAATTATTTTGTGTTTTATAGATGTTTGAACATAATTGGTTGTTTTCGTGTGTTTTCACACAGACCTCCAAGGAAAGCATAAAGAAATCACCACAAGACTCTTCAAACCTTTAGAAATTGATGTTGCACACAAACAACAAAATCACTTCATGCAGCAGGCCAACCCTGTGTCAACCATCGGACTCAACAGCGGAAGAAGATAAAATCAACATCATCTACAAAATAAATTGCAGCGACAGTGAAAAACACTACATTGGCCAAAGTGGACGTCCCTATCGTCTTCGTATCATGATCATAAGTTAGTCTTCAAAAGATATGACATGCACTCCCTCCCTCATATCGCCTCATTGCATACAGACAACCTCGGACATCAATTCGATTGGAACAACCAACGTTCAAATATCAGACAGAGGAAACAACAAGAATGCTAGAGAATTTTTAGAAGCCTCTCTGGTATTCCAGTGAATCGTCAATCATAGACACATCGAGATAGACAAAATTGACCATTCGATAAGAAGGAATCTTCACACACATAGGGTCAAAGTTCAAGTCGAGGAAACTATCAGCACTACCAACACAAGTAGCTGAGACGATGTGATAATACACAAAAACAACCAATCACGACGTTCAAGGTGGTCATCAGGAGAGATGATTAATAAACTCGTGGAGAAATCTAAAAGCTCACTTCATCGATTAAAGTACATGTGCTGAAGATGTTGCCTAACAAGTAGGGCAATGAAAGCTTCGCAAATAAACCATCCAGCTAGCTCAGAGAATACAACTACATCAAAATTTGGAAACTAGGGATTCAATTCAGCTTCAGCCGTTAACGATCACCACTTCAGCAATATAAAGTAGGCTTATCAAATCAAAAACCAAACTTGTTTTTAAATCAGCAATTTCTTACTCTTTATTTATCATGAAGCAAGCGACTGAAATGATGATTTTCGTAGCTTAAACTTGGATTTTTTTTGAAATATACTCAGACATGCAATCAGATATCGCAAATCTCAAAATGACGTCATCTAACTGGACAAAAACCGAATATTCGTTCTTTAGTTTACGGAGGACGTCTGTTAGTTTTTGTTCAATCTGCTCCGTCATGTTTTTCTCGTTGGCCGGTTTGGTGAATTTAGATTCATCAGATAGAATGGTCAACATTTTACTGATATAATCCTTACGGTTCATGACTATGATTCCTCCACCTTTATCAGGACATATCAGCATAATCTCTTCATTGTTCATCAATGCTTTCAGCTCTTTGTAGTGTTTCTTCGTTAGTATGGATCTTCCGTTTGGATTGCCATTTATAAATTTGTGGCAACAGTCGAGGACAGTTGATTTGAATTGTTGTAGGTTCCCATCGGACGTTGGTATCAAGTCATAGGTTTGATTTATCAGGTTTTCAAATTGAACCAGGCATTGAAGCTTGTGAACACTTCGTTGTTTTTTGCAGAATTTCGGACCAAGAGATAACACCTCTAGTTGAGTTGTGGATAATGTGATGTTTGAGAGGTTGAATACATACTTTTCTGGATTGCTTGGGAACGGACGTTCGGTGTTAACTGAAGGCTTTAGGCTCTTGAGAAGGTCAGATTTGATGTTGTCGCATTGTTTCTCTGTGACTTCTTTTACATATTCTTCGAAGGGTTGACGTAGTTCTGCATCTAAGTCTTCCACTACATGAGCACGTGAGTAGACATTTCGTTCTAGCTCAGGAATGCGTGATTGAATGAATCGATGTTGTTTAGCGTGTGTCGTCTCAGCGTTCTGGTGTTCGGATGGATGTGGTTGCGTCTGAGTGATTCCAGTCCGTTCCCAAGCAATCCAGAAAAGTATGTATTCAACCTCTCAAACATCACATTATCCACAACTCAACTAGAGGTGTTATCTCTTGGTCCGAAATTCTGCAAAAAAACCACGAAGTGTTCACAAGCTTCAATGCCTGGTTCAATTTGAAAACCTGATAAATCAAACCTATGACTTGATACCAACGTCCGATGGGAACCTACAACAATTCAAATCAACTGTCCTCGACTGTTGCCACAAATTTATAAATGGCAATCCAAACGGAAGATCCATACTAACGAAGAAACACTACAAAGAGCTGAAAGCATTGATGAACAATGAAGAGATTATGCTGATATGTCCTGATAAAGGTGGAGGAATCATAGTCATGAACCGTAAGGATTATATCAGTAAAATGTTGACCATTCTATCTGATGAATCTAAATTCACCAAACCGGCCAACGAGAAAAACATGACGGAGCAGATTGAACAAAAACCGAGTAGTAAACAGACACTAATGATTAAAAAACGTAACCTCTCACTTGTTCACTTACCTTATATGTATTTCTCCTATGTTGAATGGTTTTTATTTTCGCTAACATCATTCATGGCATCATCGTCATCTTGTACATCTTTACTGCTTTTATTGATGAAAATACTCTCCATAAGTGATTTGTCTTCATCATCTTCTCCAATGTCTTCTTCTTCTTTTTCTTTAGTTTCATCTTCGTCTACGTGGAAAAGACGATATGGCTAAAACGAAAAATTTCAAGTATTGATTTTGTAGGTATTTGATTTGATTGGTTAGAGGATTTAATCTCACAAGCTGAGATTGGAAAACCCACCAAGGAGTGCTGTATATCCTTTTCTTTTTTTCCTCAGCCTCGTTTTTAGACTCTTCACCTCCCCCACCCACCGCCGCGGTTCAAACCCGGGGAGCTTCTGGTAACAAGGCAAGCTAGCTAAGCTACTGCGACCCGATCTAGCCTATAATTCCAACTTCAGCCAATTTGTGACAAAGCTCGACCACTTCGCAATGTCTTCTCCGATGAGTAACTGTTTTCTCACCTACAATCTGCTGTACCACCGTACTAGTCATGTCTTCCTACCAGAACCCCGGGTTAACTGCGTGAATCATACTTTAATGCTTATAAAATATGCAACATAATTCTATGCATGCCTCCTACATCACGGTACAAAATTAGGAGATTCTATTCAAAATTTATGGGTATTATTTTTATTCTATCACTTCATCTTTGCGTTCTCAGTGAAGCCTTCAAGCTTTTAGCTTTGAAGTTCGAGTAGCAGTTGTGTTATTAGTTTTTTCTTATGGTGTAGGGTTGGTAGCCCTAAATCCAACCTTTTTCTCTTTTTTCCAGCCTTACTACTGGCTAATCCAGGTTTAGGAGTCCGTCGGTTGGAGAGTGGACCCCACATCGCGTGGGTGATTGAGCAACTAACGCAAGAATATACATATGTATCCCTAAGCTGAACCACCTTTCAAATTCTTTTACTGTTGGCTCGGACTACTAACTGGTAGCCTTGAAACCCTATGAACCAATAGCTAAAGGGTATTGATAACACAACTTGAAAGTATTGTCAGTAGCTCAGAAGTACTCATTTTTTTTTGCTAATTGCTTTCACACCCAATAAATTCTCATTATTATTATTATTCTCAAATGAGTTATTCTTTCTCCCGTTGATTTTCATTGATTAGACTTTTTTTCTGGATTCAGGAGGAACAAATCATGTATCGATCAAATTGCAATTGAACAGAGCTTGGAATGGCAGTCACCTGTCTATCTCAACTTCATCGACTTTGAAAAGGCCTTCGACAGCGCCGATCGAGAGATAATTTGGAAACTACTTCACCACTACGGGGTGCCGCCAACAAATATTCATCTCATCCAACAGTTGTACAACAACGCTGCATGCCAAGTAATCCACAATGGGAAAGTCACGGAATCCTTCAAAGACGTGAAGATAGGAGCAAGACAAGGTTGGCTGTCTGCCTGCTATCTTCAATGATTTCCTAGATTGTGGTAGACTGGATAATAATGCGATAGACAGACAGCGGGCTGGGCAACGAGGAAACAGGCATAAAATGGACCCATACAAAAAACTTGGAAGATTTGGACTTCACCAATGATATATTTATCAATTATCAATGATATTTGTCTGATTTCCCAGAAACTGGAAGATATGCAAGTGATTAGCAACAAGTTGGTAGAAGAAGCACCAAAGATGGGAAGGACTTCAGGTGAACATAGAGAAAACAGAGGTGATGAAGACTCCTGGCCAGCAGCAACAACTACAACAACAACAGACAACAATCAACATAAATGGGAGGAACCTGAAAGAAACAACCTCCTTCACCTACCTACCCACCTACCTGAGAAGCACCGTTTCAACTACAGGCGGACGGAACTCATGAGGATATCAAAGCGAGGGTCGGGAAAGAAACGCAAGGTTTGATTTCTCTCAACTCTATGTGGAGGTCAACAACACTTCTCAGCATAAAAAATTAGATCCAGATTTTCATCTCCAATTTGAAGTCAATGCTACTTACTATACGGATCAGAGAGTTGGTGTCTCGTCACGAAAGCCATCTCAAATAAACTACACCCCCCCCCCATCAACAGCTACCTTCGCCCAATACTCAAGATCATATGGCCGGTTAGAAGAGATCAGCAACAAGGAGGGATTTCTAGAGATAAACGAACCAACGCAGCAGGAACCAAATGTGCAAGGAATATGCAGGAAGAAATGGAGGTATGTGGATTGGAGGCCATACTCTGAGAAAACAAACCACCATCAAGTGAGTGACATCACATGACAGGCCATCACTAGAGTAGAACCCAAACGGGAAGCGGCGAGTTGGCTGTCCATGGCTGACATGAAGGAAGAGGTAATGTGAAAAGGAGATAAAAGTATGTGGGTAGACGTAGAGCTAGGTGAAAACGTTGGCAGAGAGCCGAACACAGTGGATAGAGACGCGCGGCTGAATCCCTATGTTCCTCTAGGAACTAAAGGAAACAATAATAACAAATGAAGTACAGCAAGTTGTACTAATGAGCATTTCCACCTCATGATCTTGTTTTCATTCTCGCCTTATACTGCACGTGGAACTTCAAGGCTTCAAGGCCTCAGTACTTACTATTCAGAACGTGAGGAATGTGAAAAATAATAAATTATATACTGGTATCAAGTTTTATATACGCAACAGTTACTAAATGCTAACATACATTATCTTTAAAATTGTATATCTTCCTTGAATGCTTTGAAGAAATTTCCGAGGATATATTCCATTTCTGTGAACTATTCATTAGAAGTGAACTAATAATCATAGGATCTGTTGAAGATTTCGCCAATGCTTCCATAGCTGTTTCAATATGTTGAAGTGATGAAGATTTATTAAATTTCTCGGCTTCGGCTTTCAATGACGTTCCTCAAATTCTGCTTCCTTGGCATTATTCACCCGACATTCGATTCCTAATGGGAAATGAATTGTGTTTATTTTTTTATTTTGAGTTGATTACAGTCAGTTTAATGTTAAATGATTCGCTTTTTATTGTTTTTAAGAAAAAATGACTACTACCAAATGACAAGTATTACTACTACTACTATTGTGATGTACTACTTATAAAAAGATATGAGTAATGCATCAAAACACATTTTAGGATAAGCGATGATGACGATTGTTTTTATTCCCCTTACTTCCCCAATGGAACATAGAAGGCTTCAAGCTATAGGCTTGGAAAACGTTTTCGCAGTGTGTGTACCCATGACTACACAAGGGATTGAAACCTATGCCTTTCAAGTTATGAGGTGTGTTCGTTCATTTTTCAGCTACTGACATCTAATCCAATGATGGCTCATGAATTCTAACTATTGTCAGTTCTCTATTTTTTAGTGCTACCACCAGCCAGTAATTATCCTCATACTCAAACCAATCAAATCCCTACAAAACCAACACGTGAAAGTTATTCTGATAATTTATGTGTGGGTGGAAAGGTCAGTGAAGGAGAAACGTCAGAAGAACCCAGTAAGAAGCAGGCCGGGAAGATACGATTGTTATTTTTGTTATTCTTTGGAAATTATAATATCAATGTAAGATATAAGTACAAAACTTGGGCACTGTGGTGGTAGAGTATAATTCCATTATGGATAAGATTTGATTTTGATATATCACACACAGTGTTGTACAGTTATATTAACTGATGACCACGTTTCGAGCACAAACTATTACTGCTCATAATCATATGATTTGATATGATATCAGTTAATATAACTGTACAACACTGTGTGATATATCAAAATAAAATCTTATCCATAATGGAATCAATGTAAGATGTTTTCACTTCTTCAATGTGTGTCCATTGTATTTTATCGTAACAAACACACACCGACTTCCATAACTGGTCTAATTCACTTCATTACAGCATTTAAAAATTGTCATCAATGTTGAATTGATTACAAGTGTCTCTTGACATTTTGTAAGGTATAAAACTTGGGCACTATGATCAAAGACAGCTAGCTGACCCTTCTGTGTCTTCCATTTTCAGTGGCCATGTCTGACTCACAGCCACAGACGAGGACGGAGTGAACTGCTGAGCAGTACAAACGCCCTTTGGTCGGTAGCTGGATATCAAGTCTACTCTAGAAATTGCGTAAGTTGGAGTATGCTAAACGAGCCTTCTATATCTGTGATGGGATTTCACCAGCCATCAGCCCACTGGCGTTGGCTGATGCAACTTCCACCTAAAAACCTGAAGCAGTCAACAAGCTCCACCAATCACTTTACTCCATATCTTTGAACAGGGAGTCGATGTAGTCCAGTCCAGTCCTGTAACATCATCTTACATTTGGCGGGAGCGAATCGCAGGCCAAACATTTTCAGATTTAAGTTCGAGGTGTTAAGAAGACTCTGCGTTTTGTCAGAGTCTTCACTAGGAGGGGGACTATATCATCTGTATATTCTAAGTTAACGAAATTATGAGCAATAATTTATGCCCGAAACGTCATCAGTTAATATTACTGTACAACATTGTGTGATTTATCAAAATAAAATCTTATTCATAATGGCGCTATACTGTGGATATGTTTGGCAGTGAAAGAAGTGCTGAGAAAATACATTGCACTGATCAAGGCTCTCTACTCGAGCTCATACACACAGGTGAGAGCTTACGGCGATTTGTTATCTGAAGTGGTGACAACTAGTGGTGTCTGTCAGGGATGCCAGCTGTCCTCATTTCTGTTTAATTTCATCATAGATGTACTGATGGACTTAACTCTAACTGACTCCAGTAACTCAAGGATTGACTTGCTGTCGAGGAATAGTCTCGTTGACTTAGAATATGCAAATAAAATAGTCCTTCTAGTTGAAGATCCTCATAAAATAGAGCGGAGTCTTCTGAACATGCTGAGCAGAAATCCTCGGATTTTTTGGTATGCGATTCTCTCCTGTTAAATGTAAGTTAATGCTACTGGACTGGAGATAAGGAGTGAAGTGGGTGGTGGAGCGTGTTGACCACTTCATTTATTTGGGGAGTTGCATCAGCCACAAAGGGTTGATCGTTTATAAAATCTCACGGATACAGAGGGCTCGTCTCGCGTACGCCAACTTACGCCATCTTTGGAGTAGACGAGATATCTGAATGTCTACTAAAGGACGTGTACACTACTCAGGAGTTGGCACTATCTTCCCTTATGGCTGTGAGACATAGCAAATGAAAGTGGGAGACATGAAGAGGCTAGCTGTCTTTGATCATAGGTGTCAGTATTCTATCTCCCATGTGTAGTGGTATCACAGGGTGAGCAATATTCAGGTTAGGCATCAGTCGAGTGCTAGGTAAGGAGGGAGGGAACATCAACAGACGGGATTGTGAAGTCAAACAGACAGTGATGGTTGGGACATATGTCACGCATGTCTAACCATGGCCTTCCTTGATGGGCAATGTTAGCTGACATAGGATGGATCAGGTTGGAAAAGAGCTAATGGCGGTCAAATGAAAACATGACTTCATCAGTGAAAGGGGAAAAATCTACAAAAGTTATTATAGACCAATCAAGCAGGGAGGGAAGTGTAGACTTCCTGACTGGTTGGGGTCATCGGGATTGTAGGAACCATTAAGGCTGGAGAAAATTGGCTGTTAATCGTTCTCAATGACAGCGCAGATGAATTCGCTCTTTGTGACTGATCGCTTCCACCACTTTCACTGTTCTTCCATATTACTATTTTCCACCCCCTTACATTCCTGTTTATTATCTCTCATTTGAGTATCTCTTTAATCTCTCCTCTTGTTTTATGTGGTACATGGTGTGGGCAACTCAAACTGTTGCACATCTGTGCAGTTATATTGACCGTTGCTCTAGGAAGTTGATTCCTCATGCTCGAGAACATTTCACAGGTGTAGAGAAAACCATCAACAGTTCGATATTGGAATATATCGTGCAAAAACCGGCCACAAAGCCAGCCAGCCAGCATTGAAGAATCCTTCTCTATCATCTACCAGGTGCCTAATAAATTCCCAAAAACATTTAGGTATCACATACTTCAAACAGCAGAGGCTATCACGATTCATCTGGAACAATGCCGATCTCTACGCAGAAGAAACAAGGCCAGGCACCACTAATACTGCCCTGGTAGGCCTTCTTCAGTGGAGATTATAAATTCATGAATTTATTGTAATATTATCTTTTCTAGTTTCTCTGATATTCAGTGTATTGTTATGTTGATGCTATTGACCTATAATCTATGGATATTATTACAATTGATTCAATGTTATTTAAAAACAACATTAGTGGTTATTGAATTGAATTTTTGATTTTCCCGTCGATTGATTGGACCGAAGTGTTCGGTCTCAGGTTGACATGTTGGCTACTTGTGCAGATGCTTCGACGATGTCTGGGGATTTGATTTGTATACAATTGGTGGATGGTGGCTAGCAGTGGAATCCAGGATACAGTGCATTTCGTCCTATTTGGGACTCGTCAGCTGGATGTACCTGCATTTCTCAGTGAGTGATGATGTTCCCACCGAGGCTCGAACCCAGTGCCCATAGTTTCAAACGCCAAAGCGTTATCCACTAGACCACTTGGGCCACGAGAGCCACCTCTTGTGCATCAATTGTATACAAATCAAATCCCAGACATCGTCGAAGCATCTGCACAAGAAGCCGACATGTCAACCTGAGACCGAGCACTTCGGTCCAATCAATCGACGGGAAAATCAAAAATTCAATTCAATAATTAATATATGACCCGTTGCACAAGAGGTGGCTCTCGTGGCCCAAGTGGTCTAGTGGATAACGCTTTGGCGTTTGAAACTATGGGCAATGGGTTCGAGCCTCGGTGGGAACATCATCACTCACTGAGAAATGCAGGTACATCCAGCTGACGAGTCCCAAATAGGACGAAATGCGCTTTATCCTGGATTCCACTGCTAGCCACCATCCACCAATTGTATACAAAACATTAGTGGTGTTAATAATACTAATTCATTTATTCACTATTATGTATATATGTATATATAACTGTAGAACCTTTTAAAGAGCTGATTATCGAGAAGAATATTCTTTGTTCAGTAACCATTTATTTTGAAAACAGTTTTAATGCTTGTTCTCTGGCAATATTTCAGTTCTTAACTTTGAGATAAACATGATAAATGTGGTTTGGATTCTACATTTCAGTCACAGTGGGAAAGCTGTCATTGGCCATGAATGCAAGCGCATCCAGTTGACAAGTCGCAAACAAGACGAAACACGCTGCTTATATATACCACTGCTGGTCATCAATAGTCATTTATCATAAAAAAACACAGATATCACCTACGCCCGACGTTTATTCATTGGAAGGCAGACAGTATGATATCTTCTGGTAATGTATGATGAACAAATTTTATTTCAGGATTCATCACTGCTCAACACTATAGCTGAAGTTACATAGCTAACAGTAATCACTAGGATAACATGAACATGGAGTTTATGCACAGTAGAAAAAAAGAAATCCGATGCTTTAACACTATTTTATCATCACTGAACTGATCTTATCTACAAAATGTATATTATATTTTATATTATACATTGTGTTGATGAATAGAAAGGGAACATCTAACTGGTGACAGACACTTTAGTTCACAAATATCGCTCATCCTACGCCAGTAGCGTATAGAACAGCTAAGTGATTTCCCCTAGCGCTTGCTACTTAAGCGAGAACACCCAAGAAGTGAGAAATGGGCTAATAACGAGGGCGTGAGAAAAATTAGTCCATTGGTTATCTGTAAGTTATCTGGTTATCTATAAGGTAACTGATTGGTTTATTTTCCAGACTGGATATCGATCATCATATTGAATAAAATCGCTGTATCAAGTTGTTCAGTGACAGATTGCTAGGTCAATCAAACATATGTGGCTTGAGGTTTGATTCCTGACGGACTGACTTCTAAACCAATGGTGGACTGAGGAAATATAGGAGTTTAGACATGAGGTTAGCAACCCTATCACTCCCGAAACTTCAATAGCTTCAAGTTCTGTATTCCACATGGAACTCAATGAATGAGATCTCGATTGAGTTATGTAAAAGAAAGGGCGTTCAGCGAAAGGATACTGTTTTTTCGGCGATATAATTTTCAATCTGTAGAATTCATTTCACATTAGAGTAGGAGTCCAACATAAAAAACTACCTCTCTCTCTCGGAAGTTCAACTAATAAGAAGTGAACGAGATAGAATACTATCAAGATATATCTACAAAAAAAGTCGACATGGAACGGACAACTCATAAACTTTCACAGTTTGGTGCCTACATCTACGAAACGAAACACTATCCTTTCATTAAGTCACAGAGTCCACAGAATATGCAGCTCTGATACTATGGAAGAGGAATTAAACACTGTGAAAAGAATCCCCCTAGAAAATGGCCTTAGAAACAAAAATTACACGGGATTAAGATATAATAGCATAGAAACAAACTTAAAATAACTGTTCTTATAACTGAAAACAGAAATGGGGTGAATCGAATGAAGACACACGGAGTAAGAATCACACACACAGCCAACGAAAAAAGATAAAAAAAACGGAAGCTAAGGGGACATACCGATCAGGGTCCTTGTTAGTTGTAGAGGTTGGACTAATTTCTTTTGAACACACAGCTCCGGCTCCTCGATGCATATTGCGAGGGCTTTTGTAGTACAGAGAAGTCGGAAACATACTGCTCTATCTGAATCTAAAAACCAATTGGAGACTCATCGGCAGAAGCACTGAGAAACCACATGTTCCGCTCGTTGAAGAAAACCGTCTTTACGGCTGAACTTCAAATGATTTCCTCCAAGAAACAAAGGATTCTCATGAATGTGAGGATGAGCTATTACTAATACTGGCCTCATCAATGTGCATCTGTCAATTGAAACCCTCATGTGTTGCTAAGAATTTAGGCCGTACTCACTGTTCGCCATCCAAGTGTATCATCGAAGACGTACTCACAGTTATGGTTTTATAAAGGAGAAGAAACATCTCCACAGCACAGCTCTATCTTTTTTTTGATTACGGCTTGATTCCACACTGTATTTTTCGGTACAAGTATGGAATTTTCAGCATGTGATATCTGCAGTCCAAATTTTACAGGCTGACCATAGTTATCAGGTGTGCGTCGGCAGGTGGTCGAACCCGGACCATGTGCATGGTCGGCGAGAGTCCTAACCACTGTGCCACCGACGCACCCTTTATAGAATTTGGACACCAAACTAACACATTCACAAAGAAACTTCAAAGTTATCTACAGAATATATGGGAATCTTGCTAGAAGAGTACAAATCCACCTTCTTCAAACCTCAGAAGTGACGGTAATTCACATATTTCACCGTGAATCCCGCAAACGAAAGAAGTTTGTCCAGTCATTTAATCTACAATGAACCCGATCTATCGTGTTTTCTTTGTATTGTTTCCTTCCCTCAACCCCTATTACCACTGTTACTAACTTGACTCCGTTCAATTTTCATTTGAATTAAACTCAACCCCGTCAATTACATTACGTCAGTCGAGTTGAATCCCAATGGGGAGTGACGAATGGTTCGTCAGTGCGAGGTTGACATGGAGACGATCGTGTGGTGAGGAGGAGATGAAAAATTATGCGTAATCATGGGGTCAGCAAGCTGGATGGTGGCAGCATAGAACAGAAGAAAGTGGAAATGTATTGTTGAAGCCGTATGCTCCATAATAATAATAATAATTTTTGGCAAGTGTTCGGCCTCTGAATTACTGACTGTGGTGATTGACAATTTCTATCTCTGTATTGTTTAAATACTTACTGTTGACTGTTGATATGTTTCTTATATGAATTGCATAAGAATTCCGCTAAATACAAATTCCTGAGTTCTGCCCTCTCTGTGTTTTGTTTGGATTCTTGTAATTCGGTCATCTTGAAATACTAAAACTACGATTACAATAAATTACTACAAATTGGCGTCGCGATGGAACTAAATAACCTGGGAAAATTTCCTATTAATGGGTCTCCGCGGGAGATTGCTGATTATTTGGAATGCTTCGATGCGTGGTGCATTTCAAAGAATGTTCGGGATGACAAAATACCAGCACATTTCATCACTGCTATTGGGCTAGATGCGTATAGCCTAGTAAAGACTCTGTCATTTCCAGATAAACCTATTTCTCTGTCATATGTCAAGATTCGTGAACTTCTGACAAATCACTTTCATGTAACTACATTTGAGACCAGAGAGAGGGCTCAATTCCATAAACTGGTTCGTGCTCCCAACCAGAGGATTAGAGACTTTATTCTGCAACTCCAAATACAAGCTTCAAAGTGTAACTTTGGAGATCAGCTGCATACTCAACTACGTGATCGTCTAATTGCTGGAATCAATATTCCTAAGTTAGAGAAAGAGTTAATTCAGATTCCTTCTTGTACCTTTCAAACTGCTAAAGATTTATGTATTACATATGAAGATGTCAACAATGAATACTCTGCTCCCACTACGTCAGTATCTGATGTTATGCTTTCTAAAGTCGAAAATACAAGTGGTCATGGAAAGCAATCCAAACTGCCGTCCACAGGTAATAGAATGCAGCGAGAGATCAAAAACATTAAACCGTGTTTTTCCTGTGGAAAGTTACATCTACGAAGCACTTGCCGTTTTCGGGGTGCTAAGTGTCACAAATGTGGTAAAGTTGGACACATCAAGACGGTTTGCAGAAGTTCGAATACTTATGTTGCTCAACATTCTTATAATTCTCCCAAGCTGTCTAGTAAAATGGAGTCAATGTGTCTTTCAACCTTTCAAAATACTCAAGCTAATCCAATGAAAACCTCCACTACAAGTTCGGCAACTCAAGTGTCAACTGTTTTCAAAAATGAGGTAGCTGAGTTACAATGTGAACTGTCGAAAACACGAAAAAACTGAATGAGATGAGAGAGCAACTGATTAAAATTGAGGAATTACTGCATATGCATAGACTGCGTCTGTTGAATGCAGAGCATACAAGTACCCGTGAAAGTCCTGCAAAACTTTTCAAATCTCGAATTCTCAAAAAGCATCTGATGTCCACGACTTCTAATGTACATTATTACAAAGGTAATGACTATAGACCTTCTGTTGGAATTATACTACAAAAAATGGGAAATCGAGTGGTGAAGATATTAGACATCAAAGATCACTCAGTTCATAACAGACACCTGGACAAAGTGACAATAAATGAAGTAGGTCGTTCCAATTATTATTTTAATGATTCCGCTAATAATCCTGATTTTGTAGATAATTCAGAAATAAGTCCAGATAATACTGATGAAAATAATATCACAGAATCAGTTAGGTCGCAGCTACTTGCAAGCAAACCGAGACATCGTTATAAATACGCAAGGAGATATTCGACGTGTGGCGGATGTGGTGATTGACAATTTCTATCTCTGTATTGTTTAAATACTTACTGTTGACTGTTGATATGTTTCTTATATGAATTGCATAAGAATTCCGCTAAATACAAATTCCTGATTTCTGCCCTCTCTGTGTTTTGTTTGGATTCTTGTAATTCGGTCATCTTGAAATACTAAAACTACGATTACAATAAATTACTACACTGACTCTTTCAGTTTGTTGTGGTTATGAGCAATTATAGTTTTTAATTCACGGAAAATACCTATTCAGACATGCATATTAGAACAAAGAAGTTCAGTGTAGAGTCTCTTTTCAGCGACGAACTCATTCACTTAGCTGTACAATCACATTTATATATAATTATTGTGTGTGTGTGTATGTGCGCACATTAGGATTGTCAAACAAAAATGAAATTATTTGGAGGATTTCATCATGAGCTGACATCAGTTAGAAAATCATTGGAAAACTTGTCAGAGAGTAATGGACAGCCGTTTCGTCCTAGCTTGAGACTCTTCATCAGTACGCACTCACAACAGGGTTTCGAACCCACGACCTTCTGGATACAAGGCAAGCGAGCTTATTGATCATTAAGCCACTGCGACCTGATTCAGCGGCCAGCTCATGATTTCCAACTTCTGTCCATTCATGAAGTAGCGCGACCACTTCACAGTGTCTTTTTGTTCGATGAGTTACTGCCTCATCTTAAACCTGCTATATCCTACTGGTCACGGACGGCTTCCCACTAGAACCCCAGGTCACTGCCTCAATAGGGTCAGTCGCCAGTGAGTATCAGATTAATTTTCAAGTATTGGTTTTGCAGGGATTTTGTTTGATTGGATGACGGATTTCATCATGAGCTATATTGCTCTATGTAGTGAACTGGCAAAAGTTAGATATCACGGGTCATAAGATCGGGTCCCAGTGGCTTAATAGTCTACAAGCCCGCTAGCCTTGTAACCAGAAGATCCCGTGTTCTAACCCTGGTGGTGAATGCCTACTGCTGAAGACCCCCAAACTAGGCTGACGAAACGGTTCTCCAGTACTCCCAGGTTCCTTTCCAATTCCTCCTTCCAATCAAACAAACTCTCTACAAAACCAATAGTTGAGAAATGAAATTATGCAGGGTTATTGTTTACGTCATCAAAATGTTTCTTAATAGTCAAAATTGTAACTAGGGGGTGGGTGGGTAAAGATTGGCAACAGCTCCAAAGATGAACTATCGCATTTCACCACTTCTATGTGCATCTACCTATCAATTTAATTGCTCATGTGAAGCGAGCGAGCTATGTAGGTCGTTCGATGTGTGTTTTCTCCAAAAGAGTCAAAGACCACTATCCCGCTGGGCTGCAAAAAGGTAACAGTTGATCAAAAAAAAAGAGTGCTATAATCGAACCTATAGTCAACAGTGATCACTCAGTATGTGAGGAGAATTCATTCAAAGTCATCTGTAAAGTCAAAGGAAGCCTCCCTAAAAACGTTAAGCCTCCATATACTTTGGATTTCCCAGGCCTTAGTGGTCTGGATAGAAAAGTCTGATGTTTGTACACAGAAGAAACTTCTTCATCCTCTTCTTCTACCTCGGGTGGTATAATTCAAAGTTCCACTCCTTTGTTAATAATACTTTTTTCGAATTTTTGTACAACATCTTAGTAACACCTTTTCCTTAATCAACCCTTTATTTACTCCTTCAACCTATTATATAATTTATTTCGGACACTTATCTCCATGCTCTTACATCAACATCCTATTTTTCTGGGTGTCTTTCATCTTACGCAACCCTTGTCAATACTTAACTATCCCCAGCCCTCCCTCTAGTTACAGTTTGAGGTAAAGTTAAACTTTAAGCACCACTAACTATCCATCCCATCAGCGAACGATCTTCAATGGACCAGTCACATGAAAGAGGGATTTTTCATTGGACAAAACTTATATTCATGGAAAAAAAGCGTAAAAATTGCATAAAAATGTTACACAGAGTATCTTTCTCTAACATGTGACAGAAACATCTCCCAGTTTAGCATAGGAATGTCAATAGGAAAGTCATAACACCACATACATTCATCCAAATGACTATAAATGAGATCCTTTTGATATCCACCTATATTCTTAATCCTATATTTTGATCTTTCCCAAAATCTTGGCATAGAATTCGTGTGTCCCTGTAATGGGATCGACAAAATCACTAGAATGGTTCACTCTGTGACGAATATATGCGAGTTACAACCTTTCATCAGTATGTACTATGGACCCCTATTTCACTAGTCTAGTAATAATAGATATTAAAGTAGTTGACTTTCTGTCTGATACTGTTTCCACGAATCGCTTCCGCAGGGAGGTGTCATATAAACCGATCACTTGAACATTGTTGGCTCGCTCACGACTACCGTTGTATTTTTCCTTCAGTAGCACAGTTTCGTCCACGTGTACAACGATACCTTCTCCGCCTAACAACAAAGTAGTTCTCTCCACTTTGCATGATGCGATGTCTTCGCAGTCCTGGTACCACTTAACAATTGTTAACATGAAGCTATTTTCGGTTTCGGCAGCTGCGCCTCTCACAGGCTGCTTTAAAACCCAGTAGTTACAAACTGTTGAAAAAAATCTGGATTAGGGAGAGATGCGACCTAGCAGAAAAATGTTCCTACGAAATAATAAAATTATCAGCTTACCTTCCCTAATATTAATTCGCCTCAAACAAATTGCACAACAATGGAAATATCCATCAAAATCGACCTGCTATAAAGTTTTTTAAACTCATGACACCTCCCCGTTGAACAAATCCTCTCCTTCCTAAGAAACCCCAAAATTTACGCAATACTGTAAAACCTTATCCTCCTCGAATTGCAAGCGTGAAGAAGTTCGTTGGAGAACGCATCTGATGCGAATCAAGTTCTATACCACCTTGAACTCACGTGCATGAACCTCATTGGACCATATATCAGAAAAGAACTTTTACAACTTTTGAATCAATAACTAAACTATAAAATGAAATGATGCATATTAATGCATGTGTTATTTGTTATATTATTTATTTATTATTCACTATGACCTAGAAGTGGTATGATTTTGTTGGGTTTTTTTTTTTTTTTTTTTTTCTAATTTTTAAAAAAAATTCTAGGGCGTTCACTGATTGGTAGTAGTTAGTGGTGCTTAAAGTTTAACTTGACCCAGTTGGATTATTCATCACAATTTGGAAATGTTTTTGATGAAGTTAAACCGTAACCCCAACTAATTTTTGTTTTTGTTTGACAGTCCTAATCTACGCACACACACACACACACACACAAAATAATTGTATATAAATGTGATTGTACAGCTAATTGAATGAATTCACGGGCGAAAAAATGACTCTTTGCTGTACTTTGTTGGTCGAAGAGTCGACTAGAAATACCCATGGGACAGATAAACTTGATTGGATACGGTTTTCACCTGTGTATTGTATAAAAATGGGTTAATTTAAAAGTTGTTTTTGACCTTAACACCTCCACCCCCCCTCCTTTTTTAAATAGCTTGAACTTACCACAAGGAATTTGCTACAATTTTGGAGACTTGGATAGTGAAAGGCTAAATTTGACTGGAAAATCTAATAAAAAAAAAAGCAAAAACAAACACTTGGTAACAAATAGAATTATTTATCACATAAGTAAGAATATTGTTCTGATTAACCTATGACAAATATTCATCTACAGTACATATCAAGAAATAAAAGACTTTATTAAATTCCTTTACATTCCAACTGGGATGTAGAACTTCAATCTCCGAGTAACAGTGGCTTTATTTTACAGGATGGGGCTGCTAGCCTCATGCCTCTAACCCTCCCTCTTTACCAATTGACTGGGAATCGAACCCTGGACCATTATACTGCTGTGCCACTGACATATGAATAAAAGTGACTGTGTTATGAATCTTGAGGACAATTTGAAACAGTTTGAAGACCCTTAGATGTGGATAGACGACCTAGTGGAATTGCTGTCTGATTTCAAAGAAATTATAGTCATCATCATTGTAGTGCTAATTCTTACCAGCCTGAGAATACTAAAATCAAGCGTACAGTGTTAGGCAAAGAAAGTGAGTCAATGCAGTACGTTACATATGCAATATCACCATTTTCCTTGATAAACAATGTCAGCTAAAGTAGACTTACGTTATGACAGTGTCAGGCATTTTTGATTGGACACTAGTAACTAGTGTGATATGGTCTAGTCCTTTCTTTTCTTCGGTGCAGACTGAATTCTATCAGTCAGTCAGGTTTGCAATGTGGCCACCATGCCACTAGGTAGCTTACTGATATGTATCCATATATATATATATATATATATATATATATATGGTGGTCTCTCTTTCTGTTTGCTCTCTTAGTCTGTGACCATTTCACTTTGATGAACCTGTCTCCTTTAACAACGTATATTCCCCTTATATTATATATAATATGAGTGTTTGTCGACAGTCCGTTGCTTGGTGACATATATCCATATTATATGTGTGGTTGTTGACATGTCTGCTATATTTTGCTATGTATATATGGATCGATACTCCATTATAATTAGCCATTCATGTTAAGACTGTCTATTGATTTGTTCACACACTTGTCTGGACATTCATATATATTTTTGCTCGCACACTCTTGTGTGATACATTCGATTCTCCTTGTGTGTGGAAAATAGAAGTATCATCGCAAACCTAGTGGTCTTCCGATTTCCGTCTTTCTGGTGTCAGGACTATTAAATTCTCGACCAGTACATAGCAATAATTTGGCGACGAGTACATAACACTTACCATCACGGTGCACATTGATTTGATGATAATAGATAGTTGGAGGTAGTCGGTCACAGGAAGCCCCACTTGACCTAGGTTTCGTGCTAGTTGGCACTATTCAGTCAGCACGGTGTATCTGCAGCTAGCCAACTAGCACAAAACCAAGGTCGAGCAAGGCCTACTGTGGTCGATTGCTTCCAACCATCTAATATCATCAAATCAATGTGCACCGTGATGGTAAGCTACCTAGTGGCACGGTGGCCACATTGCAAACCTGACTGACTGATAGAATTCAGTCTGCACCAAAGAAAAGAAAGGATTAGACACGTCACACTGGTTACTGGTGTTTAATCAAAGTACCCACTACAGTCCTAGAGGAGGTCAAATGCGAGTCAGAACAGCTCAGTGGTAACTTCGTCTCTGACTGCAAGCAATGGTGAGTGACGCAGGTTCTAATCTCAGTGGGGTGGGACATGAATTCCTTCAAAGTTGCAGATACGCCTTACTGACTGACGAGTGCTAACTAGCCCGAAACCAAGGTTCAAGGCTTCCTGTAGTCTATCGCCTTCAACTATCTAATGTCAGACATTATCAAACGAATCGGAAGCAACCATCCATGAAGTCATAAACTGGAAGATCAACAACCTGGCAGAAGTGGTAATGACGACTTGGCTTCAAGAGAACATAGGAGAGAGACAAAGGTGACGAAGATATCTAGCCAACAATAAGAAACACCAATTAGTGTCAACTTGAGAAATATGAAATAGAATAATCACTTATTTCATTTATGTTATGGGCAGCATCAATTCAACTACACATGGCATAGGTGAGGATGTTAAAGCCATAATCAGAAAGCTAAGAGAGACCTTCTTCAATCTGAAATTAGTGTAGAAATCTATCACCCTGAACAAGAAGAACAGAATTTGGATACTCAGCATTAATGTCAAGTCAGCTAGTGCTTGTACATGATTCAGAGACTTAGTGAGCGCGTCGTCAAAACACTTTGGACATTCTGCTGCCAATTTTTATTAACAGCTGGACACTTCGCTCGATACTGAAGATGAAATGACCAGAAAGAATGAGCAATAAGGAAGTCTGTCAAAGAACTCGACAAGAGTCTGTTTTTTTTATTATTATTGCTCCCTTGGGTTCCTAGTGAAACATAGGGCTTCAACTGCACGTTTCCATTTTCTTCTGTCTTCTGCTTTACTTTTCGCCTGCATCCATGTTAATCCATATTCTTTCAGCTCCTCTTCAGACGATCTCCTCCATGTCACCCTTGGACGTCCCACACGCCGCTTCCCTTTCGGGTTCCACTTGAGGGCCTGGCGCGCGATGTCACCCAGCGGTCTCCTCAGCGAGTGTCCGATCCATCTCCACTTTCTCCTGCATATTTGTTCGGCGATTGGTTCTTGCATTGTTTGTTCCCATAATTCCTTGTTGGTGATTCTTTCCGGCCATCTGATCTTCAGTATTGAGCGAAGATAGTTGTTAATAAAGGTCTGCAACCTTTTGGAAATATTCTTTGTGACCCGCCAAGTTTCTGATCCGTATAGAAGAAATGACTTTACGTTTGTATTGAAAATCCGAATTTTGTTGGTGATGCTGAGTGACGAAGATTTCCAGATTGATTTCAGGCTGATGAATGTGTTTCTCACCTTCCTGATTCTCGACAAGAGTCTGTTCCCCAATAAATATACATAATGAGATGGAGATACACTGGAATAACAATGAGGATATCGTTGGATGACCCCAATAGGAAAAGATGATTTGGGGTGCCTGAAAGTGGCATGGAGGAGGATATGAGGTCCTATACGCCAGTCATGAAGCCAGCTGAAAACGACCATAGTGAACCAGAAAAAAGAGGAGGTGTTGTTGACAAACTTTATTCCACTTGGAACCAAAAGGGATAGTGATAATAATAATCTTTGTGGTCATTTAGTGACTCTAAGAAATGAATCCCGTAGGGAGATGTGAACTCCCATGACAAAAGTCACCGGAACACTAAAAATCAATGGCTACAAGATTCTCAGTTAACTAGCATAAAGTCGTTCTCTTCTTATCCCCCATATAGATTCCGAACCTTATTTTAAAACTTTTCATTAATTTGCCACCGGCTCAACATTTCTGCTTGTATACTACACTGTCAGTACATTCTGCTGTGTTCTTCTATGTATATTTTTTAAAGGTATGGCGAGTTAAACGGATACATATATTTGTGTGAAGTTTATACTGATTCACTAGTCAGTTAGCTAATGAGGAATGATTGGATGTTTCCATAGATGTGGAGTAGTTCTCTATAGGAAGGGATTGCTAGGCCTACACCCAACCTTCCTCCTCTCCTGAGTTCATGACTGGCTAGCAAAATTAGGTTAGGTTGGCAGAAAAGTCACCTGAGACAGGACTTCAAGTGAACATACAGAAGTCAAGAATTGTGCAGACACCCAATCAAATACGACAGGCATCTTTAATCAGCAAGAGAAGATATCTATAAATAGAAGCAGTCTCTTTCACTGAACTCGGCAATGTCAATTCAAAAATGAGGATGTGAAAGACAGCTAGTGTTCATTACTCTGAGATCAGTATGAAGATCTAATTGCAGAATATGTCTTGGGAAATCAGATTCGAAAGTGAAGTGAGAAACTTGAAGTACATGTCTACAGATGTATTTCTAATAGGCCAGCACAGACCATAACTGAAATATGCATCAGCTAGATGACGATGATCCGATAGCCGGTAGAAAGGATCAGTACAGTTGGTAAATTACTACACCATTAATTTGCAGGCCAATCGTTTGAACTCTGAAGGTCCTTGATTTTCATTTCATCACTTATCATCATCACATCTAATTGAATTTCAGATTTTCCCGTCAATCGACTGAACTGAAGTGCTCGGTCTCAAGTTGACATGTCGGCTTCTGAGACCGAGGACTTCGGTCCAATCAATCGATGGAAAAATCTCAAATTCAATTAAATTAACATGATCCGTTGCAAAAGAGGTGGCTCTCGTTGCCCAAGTGGTCTAGTGGATAACGCTTTGGCGTTTGGAATTATGGGCACTGGGTTCGAGCCTCGGTGGGAACATCATCACTCACTGAGAAATGCAGGTACATCCAGCTGACGAGTCCCAAATAGGACGAAATTCGCATCCTGGATTCCACTGCTAGCCACCATCCACCAATTGTATACAAATCAAATCCCCAGACATCGTCGAAGCATCTGCACAAGAAGCCGACATGTCAACCTGAGACCGAGCACTTCGGTCCAATCAATCGACGGGAAAATCAAAAATTCAATTCAATAATTAATATGACCCGTTGCACAAGAGGTGGCTCTCGTGGCCCAAGTGGTCTAGTGGATAACGCTTGGCGTTTGGAATTATGGGCACTGGGTTCGAGCCTCGGTGGGAACATCATCAATCACTGAGAAATGCAGGTACATCCAACTGACGAGTCCCAAATAGGACGAAATTCGAATCCTGGATTCCACTGCTAGCCACCATCCACCAATTGTATACAAATCAAATCCCAGACATCGTCGAAGCATCTGCACAAGAAGCCGACATGTCAACCTGAGACCGAGCACTTCGGTCCAATCAATCGACGGGAAAATCAAAAATTCAATTCAATAATTAATATGACCCGTTGCACAAGAGGTGGCTCTCGTGGCCCAAGTGGTCTAGTGGATAACGCTTTGGCGTTTGAAACTATGGGCAATGGGTTCGAGCCTCGGTGGGAACATCATCAATCACTGAGAAATGCAGGTACATCCAGCTGACGAGTCCCAATTAGGACGAAATGCGATCCTGGATTCCACTGCTAGCCACCATCCACCAATTGTATACAAATCAAATCCCCAGACATCGTCGAAGCATCTGCACAAGAAGCCGACATGTCAACCTGAGACCGAGCACTTCGTCCAATCAATCGACGGGAAAATCAAAAATTCAATTCAATAATTAATATGACCCGTTGCACAAGAGGTGGCTCTCGTGGCCCAAGTGGTCTAGTGGATAACGCTTTGGCGTTTGAAACTATGGGCAATGGGTTCGAGCCTCGGTGGGAACATCATCAATCACTGAGAAATGCAGGTACATCCAGCTGACGAGTCCCAAATAGGACGAAATTCGCATCCTGGATTCCACTGCTAGCCACCATCCACCAATTGTATACAAATCAAATCCCCAGACATCGTCGAAGCATCTGCACAAGAAGCCGACATGTCAACCTGAGACCGAGCACTTCGGTCCAATCAATCGACGGGAAAATCAAAAATTCAATTGAATAATTAATATGACCCGTTGCACAAGAGGTGGCTCTCGTGGCCCAAGTGGTCTAGTGGATAACGCTTTGGCATTTGAAACTATGGGCACTGGGTTCGAGCCTCGGTGGGAACATCATCAATCACTGAGAAATGCAGGTACATCCAGATGAAGAGTCCCAAGTAGGACGAAATTCTCATCCTGGATTCCACTGCTAGTCATTCTTCACCAAATAAAATCATCACATTTGTTTGAGATAACTAAGACTTGAAGTTATCATAGCTGGCGGTCGATTACATACTAGTCTAGTCGAGAAGTTTCTATGTCTCTCTTCTGCTTTCACCTGTCACCAAGATCATAGCCCCATAAGCTAAGTTCTTATTTATTGAATATATATAGCAAATTATTTTGTTTTATATGAACTGAAACAATGAATAGTTTTCACTAATAAATTTCTTGTCTCTTGTTCACTTACAATCTTCTCAAATAATTCATCTGTTGGCTTCTTAAACCATGATCTCACTTCATTCAGCTGTTTTTCTATATGGAGTTGTCTACGTTTTGCACGTAAGTACAAGCGTATAGATGTCTGCTCCCATGCATTTCTCATTTCAACAATTCGATTATCATGAACAGTTTTCATGTCATCTATCTGTTTCTACAAAAGGAAAGGAAGATAGAGAAAAGCGATTGCGTAATAAGTTGGTTACCAGGATTTCACTAATCATTAAGTGTATTTTTAATCATAATTCTGCTGGAAATCGGATATCAAGAAGGTCTGTTCTCTAGTTCAGTTGATTTTAACAGATGTTCACAAACATCTTGCCTTTTCCGATACTTATATGAAAAGTAGTATTATATATATATATATATATATATATATATGTAGTTTGAACATATTAAGAGCGGATATATCTGCACGATACAAATAGCTAAAGGCCAAATAGATCCTCATCGAAAGCATTGGCGAGAATTAGTAGCACTGAGTCATTGAATATCTGCTCAAGTGAGTGAATAGTCAGTGAGTTTATTCTTCTAACCTGAAGATCCTCAACTTTGATCTCTGAAAGTGAAATTTTTTCAATTCTGTAACGACGGAAGAGAAGGACCATGCAACAGATTGTTTATTCAGAAAATCAACAGATATTTATAGATTTTCATGTAAATTATAACTAGATTTCATCAAATGAACTGTAGTCAAGATTTGACAGAATAGTTCTATAATATTTGGGCGCCGAGTGACGGGGTTGTTCAACTAAACTCTAATCCTAAACACCACAATTTTGAAAATATGTCTAATCATAAAATTCTAGATACTAACAGTTTGAACAGGCATGAAGGTGTGATGTTAGATGACGCATAGGAAATCCTGATTAATAAATAAGAATGGATATTTATCACTAACTAATAATACTTGGTCAAAGTTCCCGACTGTCTATATCTACTTATGGAGACGTTAAGACATTGTTTTACAACTGTTTATCCGCACACACACACACATACACACTGTGTTTAAAGTGTTTAACAAAGGTTGATCAATATTTGTAAGTCTGAGGTCAAATTTTGATCACAACTCGTACAATTTTGTTTATTATACTTGTTATACTTGTTATATAAATCATGATTGGACAAAGTTTTTAAAAACTAAAGATGTTCCTTTTATATATAAACCTGTTATGTTAATTTCGATTAATTTCCCTGAAGAAGTTCGGACCAGATTGCCGAACGAAACGTTGGAATTACTCATTTCAATATCGCTGAGATTTTACAAATATTATTTTTTACAAATCACTAGATTTATTGTTAACAGAGAATCAGCATCTTCTGATTGGTTGTTTTCCTGCTGAAGGTTATTCTGTCATCTCTTTTTGATCGTCTCTTAGAAAGTCATACCATATATCAGCGAATCGTATCCGCCCATGTTAAGTCCTCTGTGATTGGTTGTTGATTTTTCAAGGTTAGTCTCTGTTAATATGAGTAAAATGTTTGAGCATTGTGGATTACATCAAATAAAGTATAATTACATATTTCAATAGTTTACACACACAATGATAAGTTTTGTTGTTGGTAATATTTCGAGTAAAATTACCAATAACAAAACTTATCACTGTGTGTGTAAACTATTGAAATATCTAATTATACTTTAGTAGTCTTTGTTCTTGCTTTTTTTCATGATCAAGATTTGGGAAGTAGACATTGACGTAAATTACTGTCTACCAGTCAATGAAACCATCATTATCAATACAGATGAACACAGTGTTAAACAAATGTCAGAAGGCAGTCAGAAATCTTCATAATCTTCTTCGTGCTTTTAAAAGTTTGTCTATTCGCACAATTAAAAAGTTTCTCTTATTATATTCCTTTATGAGTAAAATTTATTTTGATAAAGTTTCACAGTGTTATACAGTAAGTAATATTTATTGATGACCAAGTTTCGAGTGCACAATTTATTACTGCTCATAATCATATCAAGGCACTCAGTCACACAACCTTCTAACTTCGTTTATATAATTCCATTAGTTCTCAACTCTTGACTTGATGACTGGTAGTAGTATTTTCCGATATTCCTGTATGAGTGATGAGTTATTCATATTGCATGTGCTGGATGTAGACTCGATGAGCAAGGATTCAGTAATCACACTCTCTCTCTCGCTCTCCACCTACCTAGAATACTTCTTAGAATTTCAACCATCTCCCATCCTATTTTGTGGTTGTGTGTTAATGCATGAAGTGTAATGCAGTGCTGAGCTTTTTTCTAAATTACTTATCTTCGCAGGTGGGATAAATCATACTAACTTTAGCTAAATTCTTATGTTCTGACAATCTACTAGTTTCACCTATTTAGTTGACCTCACTCACAGTCATTGTAGGGTATTTTATAAATTAGAGTACTTTGTTTAACTGGATCCACTGGGTCTTTTGGCCTACAGAGCTTGTCTCTGAAAGGACTGAATGCCACTCTAATTCTTGCTTTATTGAGAATCCTACATGTGGAGGTTCTCAGATGTCTCCCCCGTATACTTTAAAATTCCAGGTAGGTGCCTTATATTCTCTCTAATTTATTATGTTATCATTATCACTTTCACCATTATTATTTTTATTTTGCTTTTGGCCTTTTCTGATCTTCCTAATGAATTTCAAAGGATAGTTATTTAATACCAAAGCTTCTTTTATCTGTTTTATTTCATCATTAGGGTCTTTTTTTTACTACTTAGTGTTACTGCTCGGTTTGTTGAGCACTTAACTAAGCCTTCACAGTATGCAGTTGATTAGTCATTTGAGACTACCCAATATCTTGTGTCTTTTCCTTAGTATTATTGATATTGGCTGAATTCTACTAGTCAAGTTCTCAATATCTTCAACAAGATGGATGACTCACTATAGTGGTGCAGTTCGAGTTTACCTTAGACGAGAGTAGGCAATCAGCAGAAAGTTCTATCTGACTTAGGTTTCGTGTCTACCTACGGCGTTTACGGATATGCAAGTTTCGTCCGGTAGGTGGACATCAAACAGATGCTTAATTCTCAACTATCAGACAAAAGAATTTACCCTATCGTCACTACATCGATTTTTCCCAAAGGTTTATTCTTTATTCTATTATTTTGTTTTACGGGTTGATCACGGATTGATATCAGTTAGAGAACCATTGAAAACCAGGGAGTACTGGACAGCTGCTGTTTCATCCTAGTTTGGGAATCATCGGCAGTACGCACCCACTGGGATTCGAACCCGGGACCTTCCGGTTACAGGGCAAGCTGGCTCGTATACCATTCAGCCACTGGGACCCGATTCAATGGCTCGTGAATTCTAACTTCTACTAATTCGTGATTTAGCGCGACCCCAACCATTGTCGTTGGTGGGACATCCATCCACACACGTGACATCTAATTGGACCTCACTGGTCACGACTTCTCACTAGAACTCAGGAAACTCCAACCTGTAGCAAGTCACTAGCGAGCATCAGATTAACTTTCTATAGTTTTGGTTTGTAAGGATTAGTTATGTTTTACGGGTTGTATAATTTTGTATAATTTTTGCGTAAAAAAACAACGGGGAGGAAATGTGTTACCAATCATTAACTGATTATTGATTTTATTATCTTGATTTATTAATTGCATCGTCCTTATCCCTATTTCATCAGCCATATATATATATATATGCTTTTTTGTACCAAACAAAATACCAATAACACCAACAACCACCTATGTCGGTTTTATATTCACTCAGTGAGTTGTATTCATACTACTATTACTTCTATTACTCGATATTCTCACCATATTAATCAACAATAATAATTAGATATTTATCTGTCTGGAATAAATTGAAATAATAATAGTGATAAATTCTTAGGGAAAGATGAAATCAAAAAAATATATATTACGTATATATATATATATATATATATATATATATATATATATATATACATGCACGTATAAACATACATTTAAGTCCTCGATGGTTAATTTCTGTCCATCGATTATCCCTTCTAATAAGGTGACTTTCTTGAGTGTTTCTGAAGCTATCGACTTAGCCAAGGCCTCTGAGTGTAGAGCTTGATTTAACTGATTTCGCATTGTCTCCTGCGGAAAACCAAATAAACAAAGATACTTATCAGTAAACAATGTATAATTCGATTAAAGAATATAGTAATTAGAATATTATTACTATTATTTGTTTCTTGTTTTCCAGGTCGAAAGTAGGATTTCAGCGAGACGTCTCCATCCCACTCATTTTTTTTCCGCTTTACTTTCAACTGGTACTATTGTAACGACAGAAGACAAGAGCCAGGCAACGGATCGTTTATTAAGGAAATCAACACGTATTTATATATTTTCACGTACATTATTATAGCTTATTCAAGCAAACAAACAGTCTTCTGATTGGTGGTTTCTCGCTGAAAGTTAATCTTTCATCTCTTTGTGACTGTTTCTTGAATGTCAGATCATCTATATGTTAACTGTATCCGACTACGCAAAGCCTTTGTTATCATTTTTCTCACGACCAATATTAGGGACATAAATATTGACGCAAATTACTGTCCACCAATATTGACTAATAGCTAGCTCTCACCACACTATGATCGACTTTAAATTCTTATTTCCTAGTTACATGACTTCATGTCTCACTCGGACCTATTAGTTGCTTCTTATTATGGTTCCCCTCGAGTGCTTGTTTACTGTGCAATATTTGTTGAGTGATACGGATTTTTAACTTCAATGTGAAGTCAGTGCTACTTACTATGCAGATCAGGGACTTGGTATCACACTGAGTCACGAAGGGCACTTCGAACAAACTATACACCTTCATCAATAGCTGTCTTCGCTCAATACTTCGCTCAAGATCAGATGGCCGATCAGAAGAGATCAGCGGTAGAGAGGGATTTCTGGCGATGAACAAACCAACCCAGCAGGAACCCATCGTGCAACAAATATGCGGGAAGAAATGGAGGTAGGTGGATTAGAGGTCATACTCTGAGAAAACCGTGAAGTGGCATCACATGCCAGGCAGTCACTCGTGTGGAACCCGAATTGGAAGCGATGAGTTGGTCTTCCGAGGGCCACATGGAGCAGGTGATGTGAAGAGGAGATGTACGCATGTGAACATATGTGGAGCGAGGTGAAAACTTAGGCAGAGAACCGAATGCAATGGAGATGTGCGGCTGAAACCCTATGTTCCCCTAGGAAGTAAAGGAAACAACAATAATGATAATAATTTGTTGAATGACAGGGTGCAGGCTGGTCTATTGTTTGTCACAGCCCTTACTGCTTAATCAGCTTTTCTGATCACTTCAAGTGGTCTTGTGTTTTTGAAAGCTGTTAGATTTACGCGCCAAGCATTTGAGCATATAGAATCACTCACTTGTCATTAGTGTTAAAAATGTTGACGTTTGTAGCTCGTAGTGAGTGCCTTAAATTACTTAGACTGATTTCAAAATCGTGGAAGTTTGTTTGATTCCCTGACATGGTCCTAGATTTGACATTCTTATTTGTTCAAGTATTGGTTTTTGTAGGGATTTTGTTTGATTGCATGGAAGATTGAAGATGAGGCAGTAACTCATCGAAGAAGACATTGCGAAGTGGTCGCGCTATGTCGTGAATTGGCAGAAGTTAGAATTCAAGGACCATTGGATCGGGTCCCAGTGGCTCAATGGTCTACGAGCTCGCCTTGTAACCAGAAGGTCCTGGGTTCGAATCCCGGTGGGTGCGTACTGCTGAGGAGTCCCAAACTAGGACGAAACAGCTGTCCAGTACTCCCAGGTGGTTTTCCAGTGGTTCTCTAACTGATGTCAGCTCATGATTAAATTCTTATTTGTGGCACGTCCTATTGAATCAATGCACCATAACCAAGTGCGAAAGAGGAATTTCGTTATAATTATTCCATTGATAGAGTTAGATGTTTCTTGTTGTTGATTGAGTATTCCCATCTCCTCTATCCTCTCTAGGTTCACTAGAAGTGAAGGAGGTAACCTCTGTTAAATCTCTCCCTTTGATAGTGATCGGCTCTGGTTGTTGTTGTTGTCGCTGTTGTTACGGCTTGTTGGTCATCTCCGCAACCTTCATATTCTCTATGTTCACCTGGAGTCCTGTGTTCCGTTCCTGCCAGCCTCTTCTGCTAGCTTGTTGCTTTTCGCCTGCAAGTCTCCCAGTTTTTGTGCCATTGAGCAAATATCGTCTGAGAAAACTCAGATCTTCTAGAGTCTTCTTGTCTGTCGTCTCACACCCAACACACAGTCTGAGTTTTTTTTTTTGGCTAATTCTTGCTAGACCACCATTTCATCTACAATATGGAGCCAGCGAACCGGACAACTGCTGATAAAAGTTTTGTACCTTGTTGGAAATGCCTTCTGTGATATGCAATGAAAGTTTCTGATCTACATAAAAGCACTGAATGACTTAATATCGGTGATGAAAATCTGAATTTTGTTCTCTATGCTGAGGAGTTCAGGAGAATTCCAAACTGGTTTCAGATTGATGAAGGTGTATCTTGCCTTTCCGATTCTGGTTGGTATACACGTCTTCATCTGTTCCGCCTGTAGTCGAATCCATGGCTTCTGGTCAGATAAGTAAAGGAAGTAACCTCGTTCAAATTTCTCCCGTTGATGGAGATTCATGCTGGTTGTAGTGTGGTGAGAGCAGGCCGTGAGAAAATATGAGCAAGGCTGATTCAACAACCAATCACAGCAAAGTTAACGTGGCAAAATATGATTCGCAGATAGAGAACTCTATTTGTCAAGGAATCCCGAAACAACCAATCAGAAGCCTGCGTTTGTCTGCCTAACTTCCGATAAACAACCAATCAGATGACTGCGCTTGTCTACTTGCATAAGCTATAATAATGTATGTGAAATATGTATAAATACGTGTTGATTTTCATAATAAAACGATCTGTTGCCTGGCCCTTGTCTTCTGTTGTTACAGTAGTTGTTGTTGCTGTCGGGTGGTTATCTTCAACACCTGTGTCTTCTTTATGTTCATTTGGAGTCCTGTCTTCGCTGCTTGTCAGTTTCTTTGGCTAGTTTGTTGGTTTTCCCTTCCAAGTCTTCGAGTTTGTGTGATATTAAACATAAATCATCCGCGAAAGAAATTTAGACCTTCTAGAGTCTTCTCTTAGTAGTCGTCCAGCATATATCCTGACTCCTCACCCCCAACAGTTTGACGCATAATCCAGTCCACCACAATTAAGGATATTATCCATGATAATAGGCAGGCAGCTTTATCTTACTCCTGTATTCACGTCGAAAGCCCCACTAAGTCTTCCCATTGTGGATCACCTGACATATGACATTGTCATATAGCCAAATGTTGAATGAAGTTGATGCAGACTTAGGCAGTGCACTCCATAGTATTGAAGTAGCTTCCAAATTACGTCCTGGTCAACGCTGACTATCAAACGCCTTTTCGAAGTTGATAAAACTAAGGTAGAGAGGTTCACCCACCATTCTAGGCTTTATTCTGTGATGACAATGCGTAGAGTTGTAATTAAGGGTGTTTAAATTGGAAAATTCGTGTGAAGATGAAATGCAGGTTGATGAATAGTCTTCACCTTGAAAGAATCTGATGGAAAAGAATTTAGTGTAATGCAGATGTGTAGACCAGAAAGCAAAGAATGAATGATAATACTTTATAGTAAGTTCATAAGTATTTTACAGATGAAACAGACTTAAGAGTTTCACAGTCGAATAAAAGGTACCTTCTAAGGCATATCTAAAATTCTACGACTTATACACACCGAAAGCGTTGACCCGTAACGAACCTGTCAGTGGAGCCTTTAAAACTAAAAAAATTTAGTTTATCTAATACCCTGTCTGCTGGAATGACTGTCAGGTCAAATACATAGGTCAAACTAGTAGAACATGGGCAGTCGGTCAGACTAGTGGAGCATAAAAACCTAGCAAAATCTAGATCAGTTGACACAAATAAGATAAGAAATCTGGAGAATAGTTCAGCTATAGCACTACAACACATGGAATTACACTCAACTATACAATAGGATGATGGAATAAGATGACAGTTTTAAAATCGAATGTAAACGGATGGAGGAAGAGACTGATAATGGAAGCTTTGCTTATCGAATCAAGTGAGAGTGAATACGCATAATAGGAATGATTCAACACCTGTTCACTCAGATATCTGGAAAATTCTACTACCCCAACAACGAAAAATAGGAGAGAACAAAGAAAACTATGAATACTCAAGTTTCGAAGTCATGTGTGATTCCAATTGATGAAATGATTATGAACAGCAATAAATTGTGTTCGAAGCTGTGTCATTCAGTAAATACTAATACTGTTTCACTGACTGTGTGATACATCTAATAAACAAACTAATATGGAATTACTGACTACCACAGTGTCGAAATTTTACACATATACTTCGCATGATCTTACTCCAATGGTTAAAATATACACGTACAAAAGAAAAACAAATCAGAATTATATTTTACCCTCTTAACTTACAATACTTTCCATACCGCTTTTATATTCTTCTTTTAACTGTTGAGGTAAATACTCCCAACCGACTTGTCGAAGTTCATTCACCAGTCTACGGGATTCTTGTAATTCCTTCAGTCAATTAACAAAAGAGTTAAGCATAATGTTAATCATTTGAGTTAGTCATTGAAAAAAAACCAACATATTTATTTAATTGAATTTTAGATTTTCCTCTCGATCGAATGGACCGAAGTGCTTGGTCTCAGGTTGACAAGTCGGCTTCTTGTCCAGATGCTTCGACGACGTCTAAACATGTAAATAGAATTCAATTGGTGGATGGTGACTAGCAGTGGAATCCAGGATAAAGCGCATTTCTTCCTATTCTGGACTCGTCAGCTGGATGTATTTGCATTTCTCAGTGAGTGATGATGTTCCCACCAACGAGGCTCGAACCCAGTGACCATAGTTTCAAACGCCAAAGCGTTATCCACAAGACCGATTGGGCCATGAGTCCAAAATAGGATGAAATGAACTTTATCCTGGATACCACTGCTAGTCGCCATCCACCAATTAAATATATTTTTGTTGACATAAATTGATAAGCAATAGATTCTTTATAATGGGAGGTATATGTAAGTACTTGAATTGTTATACTCTTATCAACGTGGTCATTTTTAAGGGAAGAAAAGTGACACTGTGATCAAATACATGGAGGCATCCGCTGTCAAACGACAGTGTGCTGATTCCTACCAACAGATTGTTTGATGATATTCTAATTCCTTTATAAAATGTGTCAGTGGTTCATTGAGAGAATGCTCGCCATCCACCAAGAGCTGATGGCTCAACAAATATGTAGGGGAAAAAACGTAGATGGATCGGGCATGCGCCACTGAGGAGAATGTCGAATGACATTGCGCTCAATGCAGACTATTGTTCGGGTTCAATCCTAATGGTAATCGACGAGTGGGTCGTGGATGCGGGTTTGACATGGAGGAGATCGTGTTTATAGGGAGGAGGATATGCGAGATTATGGTCAGTCGTCGGTTCAGTCAGCTGAAGGTGGCAGCATAGAACGGAACAAAGCGGAGATGTGTTGTGGAAGCCGTACGTTCCACTCGGAACCCAAGAGCATAATAATAATACTAAATTTACTTATTTTATTTTAGTTTCCACACGACTTAAGCTTTTTATATTACGTAACTGGTTATGTGGAAAATCCACAATTTTAATGACAAATCTCTTGAAATATTCTTTTTGTTGCTAATTTAATTTACAGTTGTATAGCTTGAGAAACATATCACCGAAAGGAGTAACTCTTCGCTGAAGGACTGTTTCGTCCTCCTTGAGAACTCTTCATCGGTAAGTAGCCATGACACCAGAAAGGATCAAAGCAAGGATCTTCACACTGTGCATCGATTTACATTACCATTTAGCCACAGAGTTTAAATCCTATGGTTCATAATTTCTAACTTCTGATAATCCGCTACATATGTGGCACTACCATCAACTCATCTCCTGTTTCATTTCCTTGTAGTTTCGTTTATTCCTTCACGCTCCCAGTGGAACAGAGGGTGGCTTCAAGCTAGAGCCAGACTGAAGTTTCTGTGACAGTGGTGTTTATTTTTACAATATGAGGTGGCTAACCTCATGCCCAACCTTTCGACCGGGAAACTGGGGAGACTTAGACAAGTCCTTAAAGAGAATGGATATCCTCCAAGATTTATCGAGAAAAACATGAAGTTAAGGGAAAAGAGTGAAAGAATCCTGATGGTGCCAAAGAAACTGCTATTTATTAGCATTGAATGTGAGGGTTATGCCGCAGCTGAGATCCTGAAGAATCGCCTATGCAGATCACTGAGGAAAGCCTTCTTTACGGTTGAGCTACGTATCAGTGTCTACAGCCGACAAATGATCGAGCAATGTGTGAAGGATAAACTGCCGCTTTGGGCCACCTCAATGTGTGTTTATAAATTCACCTGCTCGTGTGGAGCTAGTTATATTGGCCACCCGCACAAAGCGCACTCCTTCAAAACGCATCTCTGAACATTATCCGGCATGGTTAGCAAAGGGACAATGGAAGACAATTACTAGCTCATTTCTCGAGCGTTTGGTGAACTCAGGCATGTAGCTCCACCAGAGTCGTCTTTCAAGAACACCTTGTTTAAAACAAGGTGAAGCCAAATGGTACAGAGGGCGTCAGATTTCGGCTTTTGTGTATGGCAGAGGCGTTGGCAATTCGTCAATACAACCCTGAACTCTGTATACAGAAAGTGTTTGTCCAGTCTCTTATTCTAACTTGGTCTTCACCTCTTCACTAGTCGTCCCCTGAAAAAAAATTTTAATTTTAATTATCACTCTAATATGTTCCTTTCTATACATTTTCACACCCTCTTCATACTTACTAAATGGACACTTAACTACCAACTTTATTCTCACTCAATAACAATTTGAATCTCATCAAATTTCTAGCCTTGTACCACTGAGTACCACGTAAATTACAATTTTATTTTTTTTTACCTCTAAAGCCACTTCCGGTAATTTTATCAATTGTGACCCCATCCTACTACTCAAAAAAGACTATTATACATTATTGGTCAATATAAATATGATTGTGAACAACACCTGAAGATGATTTCATCGATAGAGAAGAATTTTCTTCACTGAATTTGTCTTTTATTTTCTTCAAATATACATACGTTGAAGCACTTTATCGGTTAGAGAACCACTGGAAAACCTGCTATGGAGTACTGCCAGACAGTTTGAAACTCGTAGCAGTACTCACCCACATCGCCTGTGTTTGAACCCAGGACTTTCTGGTTACAAGGCTAGCTAGCTCGTAGATCATTGAGCCACTGGGACCCGCCAATCCAATGGCAAGCCTATGAATTCTAACTTCAGCCAATTCACGACATAGCGAGACCATTTCGCAATGTCTTGGATCGGGTTCCAGTGGCTCAATGGTCTATCAGCTAGCTTGCCTTGTAACCAGAAGTTCCTGGGTTCGACCCCTGGTGATGTGGGTGCATACTGCTAAGAGTCCCAAACTAGGCTGACGAAACAGCTAGCTGTCTGGCTGTACTCCCTTGCAGGCTTTCCGATGGTTCTCTAACTGATATCAGCTCATGATTGAAATCCTCCATGCAATCAAACAAAATCCCTACAAAACTAATACATGAAACTCTTTATATCAATCATACTGTATTACCTTTTTAACATTTTCATATCTCATTGTTAAACTCTCAATTACAACTTGATCACGTACAGAAAGATTTGCATCAGTGATAACTTGTTGCATGTTATCATATTGTTTCTTCAATATGTCATAATTTTCTTTCATATTGGCATGTGATAAAGCTAAATTAAATAACTGTTTGTGTAAATAACTTATTTCTTCTTGTAATGGGAAAAAATTTAATTCCTAGTAAAAATTAAATGTAAAATAACAGCGAAAATAAGAATAAATGAACTTGGCAAAGTTAAAGTATTATAGGCAAAAACTTCAGTGACCTTGAACGACCAATCAGAATTCAGGTACATAAAAAGTTGAATAATCGTTAAGAAAAAATGCACTAAAAACATTGCAGACATGATATTCTACTGTATAGTTGTCCCTTATTTGTTGTAAGAATGTCTATCAGTCACCAGAATGACTTTGTATGCATAGACGATCCATCGAGAAGTCATGCACGTTAGATGTATTCACCCAGGTAACTGTACGTCATAGTACTCTAAGGTCTATTGATATTTTTGACACAGTTATTTGACTTACTCCTAATCTTAACCCTAGACTCTAAGCCTAAATCTAAAAGGAGATAACCCTATCTAACGGTGTAGATTTACAGAAAAAGTACCTAGAGAAAAAGTGGAATACTGTAGCCGCCTTCTCCAAGTCCAGAAAGAAAGGCATGATTTCATGTGAAACGGCCTTTCTCAGAATTTCCTGGATCTGATTAGTTTTTCATGGCCAACTTTTGAAAGACCTGCGCTTAGGCTATAAAAACTTTAATTTGGCCCTGAACACAGTTATGTTACAAAGTTAGCTAAGTGATTTTGTGTAAACAGACTTAACTGTGATAGAATTCATTTTGAGTGCATGACATTAGCTACTACTGTGGTGAGTTACATAGATTGAGATGGCTAGGTGACGTGCTGCGCATGCCTAACCATCGCCTCCCCCGACGGGCATTACTAGCTGATATAGGTGCAGGCTGGAAAAGAGTAATTGGTGGCCAAACAAAAACATGGCCTCATCAATCCATGAAATCCTTGACAGTTAAACCAAGTCAGCTAGGGAGATGCAGACTTCCGGGTTGGGACCCTCGGGACTCTAAGAATCAATGGCTGGAGAGAATAGGTGACATGGCTCAAAATCGTTGTCAATGGCCAGCGCAGATGTATTCAGTCTCTGTAATCTTTCATATTCCTTTCTACCATTACCTATTTTTTCACTCTTATACTTGTCAAACTCTATTGATTCTCTTCACTCATCTTCTTGTCTACCTCTGTGTGCTATTTGGAACGTGGCAACTCGAACCACTGCACTTGGGTGCCAAGTTCTATGTTAAATCTACACAGACAGAGAGAGCTGTCTGCTAGCCAAAATTGATAGACAACAATTTACGTCAATGTTTGCATCCCAAATCTTGGTCACGAGAAGAAACAAGGACAAAGCCTAACCTTGAGGAACTCAACAACTAATCACATCAGACATAACGTGGGCGGATGCGATTGGCAGATACATGGCTTGGCTTTCTAAGAAACGACCACAAAGAGATGACAGAATAACCTTCAGCAGGAAAACAACCAATCAGAAGATGCTGCTTCTCTGTTAACAATAACTAATGATAATTTACATAAAAATCTATAAATATCTGTTGATTTTCTGAATAAACGATCTGTTGTGTAGCCTTTATCTTCAGTCGTTACACTACTACCTTATGTTCTTTCGCAATATCTAATACAATCAAACAGAAGATGAATCATGAACCCAAATAGCTCAGTCGTACCACGTCTTTGACTACAACGCTGGGGTGACACGAGGACGAATTTCATAAAGGAAATGATTTCCTTTGGGATGTTTGAGCATGTTTAACTGATGATGACAACATTATTTGCCAGATTTCGCTAACTTGCTCAGTGAACTTTCAAAGACACTGCTGAGATCGCACTCCATCGTATTTTGGTGGTGCTTAAAGTTTAACTTGTCCCTAATATGAAATAAGAACTAGCAATAGACAAAAATTTCTTATTAATTCTTTAATACATACTTAAATCTGATTAGAATTAGTAATTACCAAATACATTTCAAGTGTTAAACTTACATTAGCGTCACAGAAACCAGCAACAGTGTATTTATTCCCAATTGAATATTTACAAACCGTTGGCTATATAAATAAACGATAATTTATTTAACTAAACAATCACTGTAGAGAATCAAAATAAACATTCTAAAAATGATATTATGACTAGGAGTAGGACCGACAGCTGCTAATGTCGGCAAACCAGGAAAAAATATCTCCGAGATAATACAGTTTTTAAAATGCCGTTTAACATTTTCAACTTTATATTAGATGGTTGAAGCCAATCGGCCACAGGAAGCCTTAAGTAGTCTAGGTTCCGCGCTAGTTGGCATCAACAGTTTGCAGAGGAAAATTTGTAACCTTGAATGAACTCATACCCTTTTGAGATTAAAACTAGCGTCACCTAGTGAATACTGCATTCGGAGGCGTTACCACCAAGCTATTCGGACTCGAGACTGACCTCCTGTAGGACAGCAGGGGATACTTTGATTGGACGCTAGCAACTAGTAATGTGACTAGTCCTGGTGGAATTCAGTCTTCACCAAACAGTGGACTGGACACATCATACTAATTACCAGTGTCCAGTCAATATAGTCCTACAGGAGGTGAACCGCGAGCCCGAATAGCTCAGTGGTAACTTCGTCCCTGACTGCAAGCGACACCGAGTGACGCGGGTTTGAATCTCAGAAGGACATGAATCGCTTCAAGGTTGCAGACACGCCTTGCTGATGAGTGCCAGCTAACATAAAACCTAGGCCTGTTAAGGCTTTCTGTGGCCGATTGTATTCAACCATCTGATATCGTCAAATGAGTGCTTTGTTAAGCATGATATAATCTTGAAAAGTGATCGGATTTGCGACTTTTTTAAATTTAACTTTTTAAATCTACGTTTTGTAGTTGTAATACAGGCAGGTAAAAGGTGTGGTAAGAGCAGCCTGCTGCCAATTGGTCGACATTAATCTACGTCAGTGTCTAGGTCACTAATATTGGCCGTGCGAAAATATGATCCAACAACCAATCACAGCAGACTTAAACGTGGGCAAATACAATTCGCAGAGAGATGGCTCCATTTTCCGAGAAACTCGAAAACAACCAATCAGAAGACTGCGTTTGTCTACTTGACTAGGCTATAATAATGTATGTGAAATTTATATAAATACGTGTTGATTTCCGTAATAAAATGATCTGTTGCCTGACTCTTGTCTTCTGTTGTTACAAAGGTAAGATGAAATTGTAAATAGAAATTTGGATATGTATTAAAAGCTAAGAAGTCGTATAGAGGATTTTAAACCATTAACAATCTTTGATATAAACTTATTTTTCACGGTTATTAATACAGTGTATCCGCTAACATATTCATGTATTATTTGTCTGCTACGATGTCCGTAAATTACGATTGATTACTGCTCGAAGTACCTGAAAGACAATGAACATCAGCCAAACGCGACTACAGAGTCCAGAGGACAGCTGATTAATACGGGTTACAGACGTCCTGTTTCGAGTTGTTTTTGAGTTTTATATGTATAAAACAATACCGTACCCTAACCGCCGGACATTAAGTGATGTTGTGTAATTTTCGAGGTCGACCTTTACTCAACTCCCTTCCTCACAGCAGAAAGGTGACGCATCTGGCTTGCTGTCTGTCTGAGTAGGACTCCTCATACTGACTCCTTACTTGAAACTTGGGCTACCAAAAACTTCCATCTCTCTCTCTTTCTATTGCATATATTTTCTCCCGTTCGGTTTATTTAAATCGATTAAGAAATGACCTCTAACGGAATTTTCTACTCTTGTGCATACTTAAAATGTTCCTATGTAACTTGAGGAAATGCCTGATTTTGAGGAGATGACTGCTATTCAGTTAAGTCCTTGGGTCTCAGAATGTACTTCTGAACATCTTACGAATGGTGTTCATAGCTAGATCGATATCGTGGATTTCTTGAAGGAGACAAAGCAGATATTTCAAATAATGCAATAGCTCTCAGAGAGAATTGTGTCACAGGAAGGATATACTGTCATTTAGTATTTTACTTAAGGACATATCATGCAACAAACTCTTCCGAAAATTCTGTACATCATATAAATACCGTCCAGAATTAAGATGTTAGTATTATTATTATTATCACAGTTATTACCTGCCCAAATACCAGCAGTTCCGTCACTTCCTTAGAACCCCAACACATAATGAAACCCACTTACAACTGTAATGCTAACCACTTTTAGTCAAATCGCTATGCAAGCGACCTACTATTTGATAAGGTATGGCCTGCAGAAAAATTCTTTCCTGTCAGCCAGTGTAACTCTTTAGGTTATTAAGATTTATACGAACACCACGTCAATGGCAAACAGTCTAGCCTACCAACCATACATACTTCAGTGTAAAATCAAGCGACTTACAGTTTGTAGTTGTAAACTCTCACCACTTTGCGGTTGTTCTGTCGTTGGTAGGTGATTTTCACAAAATATCTAAAAGTCAAGTAAAAAAAAATAGGTAGGATATTGGTAACTTTTTAAAGAAGTCTCAAAGATTTACTCAACAATATTGTAATATAAGTCAATAGGAAACAGTGTTTGTCACCACAACCACTGTCGCCATGATTTTAATCTCCCGCATCAGAATATTTTAAAAATAATATACGATTTATTCATATTTTCTGCTACAATCTCAAAAGTTAGAATTATCGGGACACTAGATTCCATTCCTGTGACTGAATAGTTGGCAGGCTCGCCATGTAACCTGAAGGTGGCGGTTTTGATGCTTCCCCCTCACCAAAGATATCGTGTGTCCAGACTACTGAAGAGTCGGTCGGTCGGTCTTAAACTAGGACGAAACATCTATCCATATTCTCTGATTTTAAGTAGTACTGTAACTCATTTCATGATCAAATCTGAAATCAGTCAAGTCCTGAAAGTCGAACCGTAGGCGATTAAATTAGTGTGATCTGAACAGAAGCTTCGTAAACAGTTTGTTTTGACACATGAATTTCCATAGTTTGTTTCATGATGTCATTCATTTGATGATGTTTTGCAGAGGAATCCAAAATGCGCATTTCATCCTATTTGGGAGTTGTCAGGTCCCACGAGAAATTCTCACTAGCTTAAATAAAGAGAAACTGATGGCGTTTGCAAAAAAGATGAAGCTACTGTCCAGTAGCCTTGGGAATAATATTTTAGAGTTTCAAACGATGAGCGCTGGTTTCCAATCTCAATGAGAGCATCATTTTCTATAGTAGGTTTTTAAGGATTAGTTTCGTTTTATGAGTTGATCACCGATTGATATCAGTTAGAGAACTACTGGAAACCAGCATTAGAGTACTGGACAGCTGTTTCGTCAGCCTAGTTTGGAAATCATCGGAAGTACGCACCCACTGTCAGGGTTCTAGCTCAGGACCTTCGTGTTATAAGGCAAGCTTGTATACCGTTCAACGACTGGCTGGAGTTCTAGTGAGAAGTCGTGAACAGTGAGATTCATTCCGTCGGAAGTAAGGATGGAGTTCCCACCGATGACATTAGTTAGTGGTCGCGCTAAATGCAACACGAATTGGTAGAAGTTAGAATTCACGGGCCCGCCACTGAGTCAGGTGGGTCACAATGGCTGAATAGTATACGAGCTTGCTAGCCTTGTAACCGGAAGGTCCTGGGTTCGAACCTAGGCAGTGAGTACGTACTACCGATGATTCCCAAACTAGGCTGACAAAACATCTGTCCAGTATTCCCTGTAGCTGGTTTTCAATGGTTCTCTAACTGATATCAATCCCTGATCAACTCATGAGAATAAAAGTACATTCAGTCAATGAACCCCAAACTAGTCAAAATACGTATCCTGAATTCCGTCGTAAGTCGCCGTTAATTAAATGAAATCATGCTACTCAGCTAACATCATCAAAGCGTCCGTATGAGAGGGCTGACATGCCAGAAGACAACCAGCATTTTGATGGCATGGTTGTTGAGTGATCTATCAGTAAACCGCTGCCTCAATGATTAAGTTTCGCAAATTTTATGTAATGTTACAGAATCAATATAAATAAACTCCTTAGATAAGCTGAAAGTTGTATCACTAAAAGGTCACTTTAAGAATGTTAGAGCTAAATGAAAAATGTTAAAAATGACAAAACCAGTGGGGGAAAAATGCATTTTCCAGCCTCAGGGACTCGACCCTTTGTCCTGTGAATTCCATTTTCTACCAATTCGTAATTTTACCGAAACCACCAGCCAATATCGTCGAGAAGTATTTATCCTCACATCCCACCCTGGTGGATCACATCAGTCACGACTTCTCACTAGAACACTAGCTACAGGGCGAAGTTGTTAGCACTTCCAGTGAAACGTCGTGACCAGTGGGGTCTATCATATTAGGTATGAGGACTAATATTTGCCTATGATACTGGCTGGTGACAGCTGCTCTAAAATTGCGAAATGATAGGCCATTGGATAAGGTTCCTGCAGCCAAGTGGTCATCAAGAGACATATACCCCCAAGCCAACCTACCAAAGCAAAAACCACCAAGGAAAGCACAAAGAAAATTGCCTTACCATATATAAAAGATATCTCAGAAATCACTACAAGACTCTTCAAACCTTTAGGAATTGACGTCGTACACAAACCAACAAAGTCGCTGCACTCAATTCTATGTCAACCAAAAGACTCAACAGCGAAAGAAGACAAAACCAACATCATCTACAAAATAAACTGTAACAACTGCGAAAAACACTACATCGGCCAAAGTGGACGTCCCCTTCGTCTTCGTATCCACGAACATAAGCTAGCCGTCAAAAGACATGATATCCACTCCCTCATTTCACTACACACAGACAACTACGGACATCAATTCGACTGGGACAACGTTCAAATATTAGACAAAGGAAATAACAAGAATGCTAGAGAATTTTTAGAAGCTTGGCATTCCAGTGAATCATCAATCAATAGACACATCGAGATAGACAAAAGTTATCAACCAATAAGAAAGAAACTTCATACACAAAGGGTCAAAGTTCAAGTCAAAGAAACAACCGGTTCCAATACAAGTAACCTAGAAGGTGTGAAAACACACACAAACAACCAATCACGTCCAAGGTCACCAGGAGAGATGATTAATAAACTCGTGGAGAAATCTAAAAGCTCACTTCAAATTGAAGTATGCGCTGAAGATGTCACCCAGTAAGGTGATGAAAGCTTCGCAAACTAACCATCCAGCTCAGAGAACAAAACCACATCAAAATCATCCACCTGAGCTACAAATCTTCTCTATCATATCTAAGTGGTCTAAAAGCCTGCTCTATAACGGGAAATTCGTTATTGAAAATAATAAGAAAACTAAAATGTTTGTGTACTGCGTTCATTGAGATATAAATCTGACAAATGATATTCACCCAGTGCATCGTCATTTTATTTAATTTCATTATTATTATTATTATTCCCCTGGGTTTCTATTCCCCTGCTGTCATCTTCAGCTGGCCGACGCCACGACTGATCATAATCTCTCGTCTCCTAATATCCCTATACACGATCTCATCCATGTCACCCTCCCACCGATGGACCCTTGTCATCGATTCCCATTCAGATTCCACTCGAGTGATGGCCTGCATTGAGCGTGATATCATTTGATGGCCTCCTCAGTGGCGTATGCCCAATCAATCTCCATTTTCTCCTACATATTCGTCGGGAAATCAGCTCCCACTTGTTGCTAATTCTTTTTGACTGGCCGGTCGGCTATTTGATCTTTAGTATGGAGCCAGCCAGTGAATGTGGCAGCTGTTGACAAAAGTCTACATCTGGCTGTTGGAAATGCTTTTCGTGACTCACGTGCACTGCAAGTTTCTGACCCGTATAGAAGCAGCGACTGACTGAATCACTTCACAAGTGTATTGACCAGAATCCTAATGTTGTTGTTTATGCTCATTGACTGAGTGAAGGCAGAAGATTTCCAAACTGGTTTCAGGTTGATGAGGGGTGTATCTTGTCTTTCCAAATTCTGGCTGGCTGGTGGTGATCTCTTTATCCGTTCCGGCTGCCTGTGGTTGAAACCGTGCCTCCTGGCTAGATAAGTGAAGTGGAGACAGGAAGTAACCTCTGTTAAATCTCTCCTGTTAATGATGATAGGGACTGTTTATGGGATATCTCCATCACCTTCGTCTTCTCTATGTTCATCTGGAGACGTATTGATTTAAATACGTTATTCTTATGTTGCTGCTGCTGAGTGGTTAATAGTAGTTTTCCCCGTCGCCAAATTGTTATGTTACTCGTCGCTAAATTATTGCTATATACTGGTCGAGAATTTAATAGTCCTGACACAAGAAGGCGGAAATGAGAAGACGACTAGGTTTGCGATGATACTTCTATTTTCCACACACAAGGAGAATCAATAAGTGGTATCACACCAAAGTAGGTGTCACAAGAATGTGAGAGCGAAATATATATGACCGTTCAGACAGGTGTGTGAACAAATCAACAGACAGTCTTAACATGAATGGCTAATTATAATGGAGTATCGATCCATATATACATAGCGAAATATAGCAGACATGTCAACAACCACACATATAATATGGATATATGTCACCAAGCAACGGACTGTCAACAAACACTCATATTATATGTAATATAAGGGGAATATACATTGTTAAAGGAGACAAGTTCATACAAGTGAAATGGTCACAGACTAAGCGAGCAATAGAAAGAGAGATCACCATATATATAATAATATATATATATATATATATATATATATATGAATACATATCAGTTATATTCGGCTGTAACATCACAGAAGTTTATTTATTCAATCCGTCTCCATTTCTTTTTGCATATTTGTTAAACAGACAATAGGCTGTGAGCTGATTCGCTAGCTACTGAAATTTTTTTGCACCTATCTTTCTGGTCAACCATGTGGTCTTCATTGTCGAAATAAATAAACCAGATAATGACTGAAGTCGGCATTAACCTACTTAAAATAACTTTGATTGGACACTAGTAACTATTATGGGTAAATTTTGTTTTGATAAAGTCTCACAGTGTGTGTTATACAGTAATGTTTACTGATGACCACGTTTCGAGTGCACAATTTATTACTACTGCTCATAATCATATCAAGGTAATCACTCACACGACTTCCTAACTTCATTTATATAGTTCTATTACTTTTCACTTGATTTTCATTTGATTTGATTGGCAGTAGTATTTTCCATATTTCAGGTATGAGTGATGAATCATACTAACTGCATGTGTTGGTTGGGTGTAGACTCGATGAACAAGGATTCAGTAATCAACCTCTCTCCACGTGCCTAGATTACTTTTTGGAATTTGAACCCTCTACCACCATGAAGTTGTGTGGTTGTGTGTTAATGCATACATGCATTGCAATTGCTGAGCTTTTTTTTCTAAATTAATTATCTTCTTGAGGTGAATCATTCTTATCTTAGCGGTCAAGTCATTCACTATTGTCAGTCATCAGACAAAGAAACAAGATGATGCTTGCAATTGTAGAGGAGGCTTGTGCAATTCGAGATTATAAGCCCGGTGGTCTCTGTGTACAAAAGGAGATGGTCGTCTCTCTGAATCTACCATGGTAATACGTTTTACTTATTATTTTACCTCTTATTATTATCATTATCATTATTATTCTTGATTCATTTAAAACTATCCTTTATTAGTAGGATTATTATTAATAGTTTCACAATTATTTCTATTTTTCTTTTGGTCTTTACTGATATTGCTAATGAATTTTATAGGACAGTTAGTTATTTAACACCAAAGCCTCTTCTATCCGTTTTAGTTCATCATTTAGGTCTTTTTTTGTGCTACTTAGTGCCACTGCTCGGTTTGTTAAACATTTAACTAAGTCTGCCTTAACAGTTAAAGGATGAGACGAATTAAAGTCTAAATATCTTTTAGAATGAGTTGGTTTTCTATAAACACTAGTGTGTAGTTTGCCTTCTTCTATTCGTTTTATTTTACAATCTAACATAGCTAATTCTCCTTGTTCATTTTCTAATTCAAATGTGAATTTTATTCCCTCTACTTGTGAGTTTATATTGTAACAACAGAAGACAAGGGCCAGGCAACAGATCGTTTTATTATGAAAATCAACACGTATTTATACATATTTCACATACATTATTATAGCTTATGCAAGTAGACAAGCGCCGTTATCTGATTGGTTGTTTATCAGAAGTTAGGCAGACAAACGCAGGCTTCTGATTGGTTGTTTCGGGATTCCTCGACAATAGAGTTCTCTATCTGCGAATCATATTTGCCACGTTAACTTTGCTGTGATTGGTTGTTGCATCAACCTTGCTCATATTTTCTCACGGCCTGCTTTCACCACAATATATGACAGGAAGCTAGAGATATATTCTGTTTTTAACACTGTGAGTGGAAGTGTCATCCACATATCTCCATCATATTATCTTTGGAGTAGGATTAATTGTATTAAGAGCCATATTTTTCCAGCTGTCATCCATAAATATGTCTGTTATGATAGGGGATATTAGTGATCCATCCCATTGCTACACCTTCTGTTTGTCTATATATTTTCCCTTGGAATTTAAAGATAGTAGATGTGAGGCATAACTGAATCCCTAACATAATTTATTCAATGGGCAGCTTTGTCCTATGATTCAGTTCAGGATCCGCAGTTAGTTCGTTTTTAACTGCTTCTAAGGCCATAATGACTGGTATATTAGTATAAAGACTAGTTATATCAAAACTAACCATTTTGTCATCATTCTCTAGTTGAATGTCGTTTAGTTTATTTTTCATCTCGTATGAATGAAAAATACTACTGCCAATCAAATCAAATGAAAATCAAGTGAAAAGTAATAGAACTATATAAATGAAGTTAGGAAGTCGTGTGAGTGATTACCTTGATATGATTATGAGCAGTAGTAATAAATTCTGCTCGAAACGTGGTCATCAGTAAACATTACTGTATAACACACAATGTGAGACTTTATCAAAACAAAAATTTGTCCATAATGGAATTATACTCTACCACAGTGCACAAGTTTTATTCTTATATCATTTGATTTGATTTTTGATTTTTGATTTACAGCTTGATTCCACACCGTATTTTTGGTACAAGTATGGAATTTTCAGAATCGATATCGGTAGCCCAAATGTCGCAGGCCGACCATAGATATCAGGTGTGCGCCGGCGTGGGCTCGAACACCGGACCATGTCCATGGTCGGCGAGAGTCATTGACACCAGTAACTAATATCACTAAATCAATGTTCACTGTGATGGCTAGCTACCTACAATGATGGCCACATTACAAACCTGACTGACCTAATTCAGTCTGCACCAAAGGAAGGACTAGACACATCATGCTAATTACCAGTGTCCAATCAAAGTATCCACTACAATGACAGAGGAGGTCAATCGCGTGCCTGAATAGCTCAGTGGTAAATTTCTTCCCTGATTACAAGCGACACTGAGTGACGCGTGTTTCTGAATCTCAGAAGGGACATTAGTGTTCCTACAAGGTTGCAGGATACGCCTCCTTGCAGACTAATGAGTGCCAACTAGCACAAAACCTAGGCCAGTTAAGGCTTATTATAGCCGATGGCCTCCAATCATCTAAAATCATCAAATAACTTTGATGTTACATCAAGTCTCTCAACACATCAATACAGAAACTTCAGAACTCCAAAGAATGATAAGTTTAACTCATGCATATTTATGTCAATTTCCACATTGAATCCTACTCATTCAGTCATCAGAACACAAGACAGTATTTTTAAAATTTACCCATTAGTACAGAAAAACGATTCATTCCATCAAATCCTTGATTGAAACAATATCATCTGTTTGACATTGGATAGTAATGTAACCGAGGATGCACTCCTCACTAAGTGATGGTTTTTCCCATTGAGAGTAGAACCTTAGAATTCATCATTTCAAAAGCTAGAACATTATCCAGCGGGAACATTACCACTCGTTGGAGATGCAGTTACACATCCAGTTTTGACCAGTTCCAAATAGGATGAAATGCGCATCCTGGATTTCACTGCCAACCACCATCAATCAGTATGTTAATCTTCAAACGATACTGAGAACCGACGTGTCAATACAGATCGAATATATTTCGGCACAATATATATTTTAGTCATCAGGATAAATAACTTAGACAAACAAAGTGGAATTTTACAAATTAATTTCAACGGAGCGAAACTTACCATTATTTGAAATGTAGAGTTTATAGAATCGTGATAGAAAACTGTTGAATTTATTTGAGATGATTCTAAAACTGCCTAACTTTATGCAAATAAAGTTTAACTAATTTTTAGGAGATATTTTTTAATGAATAATAATAGTCTTATATCAATGTATCATTGTCATAAAATGGAGGTTTTTAATCTAAGCAGATCGATACTAATTCATCGATTCGCTAGACAGTTTTGTACACGTGACCGTTATGTACATAACCTTGAAGACGTGCAGGCAGGCAGGCAGGCAAAAACCAACAGACTGGCTGAGGAAGCAGCCAGAGCTGACAGCACACTAGGTGAATTTAGAGAGGACGCTGGTGATGAAGATATCCACAACAAACAGCAACTAAAACAGCATCATCTCAACTACAGGCGATGGATTGAATGAAGATATGCGTTCATCACTGTGAAATCGGTGTTGAAATTTCCTGCAATTAGAATAAAGAATGAAACTCAGATTTTCAAGACCGATGTTAAGTCGCTTCTTCAACACGGGTGAGAAACTTAGCGAACGTGTCATGGATAGCACTTCCAACAGGTTGCAGACTTTTTTTAACAGCCGCCTGATTCGCTGCATACTGGAGATCAAATGGTCGGAAGGAACTGGCAGTGAAATCTCTCGGGACGAATCAATCCAGAACCTATCTCTCAGCAAATTCGCACTGTGAAATGGAAATGAATTGGCTACAGGCTGAGGAATCCATGGAATGACAACGCACGCCAGATAGCCACTTTATTGGAACTTGATTAGGAAGCGACAAGCAGGATGTCACTGCAAGGATGACATGGAGGGGATCGTTTGGTGTGGTGGAGATAAGAGATTACGAGCAATCGTGGGGCCAGCTAAAAAGGACTCCAGAAAAAAAGAGAAAGTGGTGATATGTTTAGTTAGTGGACAGACAAAAGCATATTGTCAGTTATAATGGAATATCGATCCATATACACATAGCAAAATATGATAGACTGTCAACAACAAAACACACACATCATGTGGATACATATCACGTTATGACTGCTATAATTACTTATAATACAAATCACCTATTACATCACACCGTTATTATGTTTTTTATAAAAAACAACAACTTATAAGCAGCACTACTCGCCTGTTATTCACCATTTTTAAAAGGGTGTTCATTCATCATCTGAATTCATTTATCTAGTCAGTGATAACTTTAACTTCCCCATATTAATAATAATAATAACGACAATGCAAATTGATAAAGTTAACCAGTTACGAGAGCAATGAGGAATGTAAAGTCAGAGAGTCTTTTGCGTATGCATAACAGAAGGATTATGCTTTGAAATAATGGGGAGATTTGTAGCACAGGTGGATGATTTGCAATTAATAGTGCACCTGTCTGAGCTGGTTGGTTTAGTTGCGGAGTTTTCGTCGTCCCTAATCTAGACAACATCTCCTTTCAGCGTAAATTTTTAGCATAAACTGAAGTGATTTAAATTTCTTCATGAGTGATAGAATTGCATCTCCCGGTAACTATCTTCACATATATATATATACTGATCATTTTCTACTGACCTGGATTTTAAACATGCTATACTTTTTAGAAAACAGAGAGATTGAGCGAAAAAATATTTACCTTTCAATTAGATCCTCATCTCACACTGGCTTTACTCCAATATACACCTGTGCAGCATTTTTATTACAATACACAACAATTTACCAATCATCAAGTGGCACTGATATGTTTGTTAACAATAATTAGGCGGTGTCAAAATGTCAGTGGGGTGATAGTTAACGAAGAATATCAATACACACAATTAAAAGGTGGAAAGGGTTACAACAAGTGGATTGCATGAATCATAATTTTGGAAAAATTAAGAGAAATTAAGGAATAAGCGTGTGCACAGGTTGATTATGTAACAGACCGTTAAAGAAAATAAAACAATTTGAACAATGATAATTTGTAACTAAGGTTGAAATGGTCATAAAAATAAAGTAATTTTTACAATGATAACACTGACAAATTATTGTTAACAAGCATATCGGTGCCACTTGATGATTGGTAAATTGTTGTGTATTGTAATAAAAATGCTGTACGTGTATATTAGAGTAGAGCCAGAGTGAGATAAGGGAGGATCTAATTGACAAAAGTAAATATTTCTTCGCTGTTCAACCTTTCTGTTTTCTAAATGTCTAAATGGGAATTTTTTCTACATTGAAATATGATTATGACAACTCATCACTTTTCTAACTACCTTTTTTCGTGCAATGTGAATTCACTGAGAACAACTTACGAACTACTAGGCCAACGAAGCTATGAAACCTAATTGCTCGGTAATCCAACTATTATATCATTCTCTCAAGTACATCCAGCTGTTATGGAAATAACTGACACTAAGCTGTCTAACAAGGTCTTCTCCTGTTCAATCTGAATCCTTTCACCTTCAGCTGTCACATAATTACACGTTTATTAGTTTACCAAACCAAGACTATTTCAGAAAGAGAACTATTAATGAATCAAATTTTTGATTTTCCCGTCGATTGATTGGACTGAAGTGCTCGGTCTCAGGTTGAATGTCGGCTTCTTGTGCAGATGCTTCGACGATGTCTGGGGATTTGATTTGTATACAACCTGAGAGCGAGCACTTCGGTCCAATCAATCGACGGGAAAATCAAAAATTCAATTCAATAATTAATATGACCCGTTGCACAAGAGGTGGCTCTCGTGGCCCAAGTGGTCTACTGGATAACGCTTTGGCGTTTGAAGCTATGGGCACTGGGTTCGGGCCTCGTTGGTGGGAACATCATCACTCACTGAGAAATGCAGGTACATCCGCTAGCTGACGAGTCCCAAATAGGACGAAATGCGCATCCTGGATTCCACTGCTAGCCACCATCCACCAATTGTATAGAGAACTATTAAGTTTACAAGTTTAAAACTGATTAGTTTCAAGATCTCATTATGAGCTGAGATTGGTTAGAGAACCATTGGAAAACATACCAGAGAGTACTGGACAGCTGTTTCGTCCTCGTTTGGGACTCTTCGTCGGTACGCATCCACTGGGGTTCGAACTCAGGACCTTTGGTTACAAAGTTAGCGAGTTCATAGACCATTAAGCCACTGGGACTCGATCCAATGTTCTATGAATTCTAACTGCTTGCAATTCACGACAGAAACCCTATTCATGTAGGAGGTCGTGACTAGTAGGGCGCAGCAGTTTGGGTGTTAGGACAGCTACTCGCCGAAGACATTGCCTAGCGGTCGCGTTATGTCGTGAATTGGCTGAAGTTAGAATTCATGGAACACTGAATATGGTCCCAGTGGCTTAATGGTCTACGAGGTAGCTCGCTTTGGAACCAGAAGGTCCTGGGTTTAATTATTTAATTAATTAATTGTTTAATTATTGTTAACAAGCATATCGGTGCCACTTGATGATTGGTAAATTGTTGTGTATTGTAATAAAAATGCTGTACGTGTATATTAGCGTAGAGCCAGAGTGAGATAAGGGAGGATCTAATTGAAAAGTAAATATTTCTTCGCTGTTCAATCTTTCTGTTTTCTAGATATACCTTTTATTAGTTGGTAGATTTGGTCTATATTAACGTGTCTGTTAATTGCATATTCGTTTGAGTATCAGGCTTCTAGGAATTCCCTGGCACATTTGGTGTTTCCTCTGTCTAAGATTTCGACATTAACCCAACCAGACTGATGTCCATAATTGTCTATATGCATTGATATAAAAGAATATGTATTATGTCCTTTCACAGCTGATTTGCGTTCCTGGATTCTGATACGAAGGGGAAGCCCACTTCGACCACCGATGTAATATCTGTTACAGTTCATACAATTTATTTTTGTAAATGCTATTAATTTTATCTCCTTTTTCTGTTGGATCTTACAGTTTTCACAATATTGAATTAAGCAATTTAACTGGCTTGTGTGCTATATGTATATCAAACTGTTTCAGTATTCTAGCTGTTATTTCAGAGATATCTTTTCTGATATATGATAGAGTGAATTTTCTTATATTTTTTTGATGACGGTTCCTTGTTGGCTTTGTGATTCAGTTTTAAACACTTTTTGATGAAATTTTGAGGATATCCATTCCTCTTTTTGAAGACGTTTAGTAGGCGTTTCTCTTTGATTCTCTTCAACAAACACAGGAGTGCTACAGTGTGTGTGTTTGAACTCTCTTTTAAACAATGTCTGCACACAGTTTCTTTTGTGAGTCATTGTAATATTGCTAGCATAGTTGAGTATTTGATCTGTGTGGATTATACTTTATTACATATACATTATCATCATTATAATTCATCCATTGGGTTCAGTGTCGAATAACACAGTGCAGTGGGCTTCAACAATTCATCGCCATTCCACTTTATTTTGTCTGTAATCCTTTTTGCCTGGCTGTGTGAATGTCTACAAGCTTTCTTCACATGATATCTTCGAAATCACTCACTGGACACATGTCCAAGCTCTAGCTTCTTAATCGCCTGTTTAGCGTGTGAGACTTCACCCAATAGTCTCTTCAGCTTATTTTATTTTTATTTTTGATTTACAGCTTGATTCCACACTGTATTTTTGGTACAAGTATGGAATTGTCAGCATGGATATCGGTAGCCCAAATTTTGCAGGCCGACCATAGATATCAGATGTGCGTCGGTGCGGGCTCGAACTCCGGACCATGTACATGGTCGGCGAGAGTCCTAACCACTGTGCCACCGACGCACAAAGCGTGTGTCGGAGGTGGGATTCGAACCCACGCCCACATCGTGGACCAGAACACCCAGAAGATTACTCTTGAGTCTGGCGCCTTAGACCGCTCGGCCACCCAGCTAATATCTCTTCCATCTCCATTTCGTTTAGCGTATTTGTTAGACAGTAGGCTGTTGATTGGTTGGTTGGTTGCCAGAGGTCTTTGATGTTGCTTATCCTTCTTCAGTATCTAGCGAGCAAAAAGAAAAGGAATTTCACATCAGTTTGTTTATAAGATGTATCACACAGTGA